AGAAGTGGTTTTAAACATTGCTATACGAAATGACAAAAATTCAGAAATGACAAAATACCACGAAAAACGTCTGAGCTAGTTTATAGGATTGGAATTGGAATTTTACAAATATTTACCTTACCGGTCTGCGTTAAAACATAATGATCGAATATCTACGCAATTATTATCTCTAGCATGTTAAAAATTAGTGAAGCCCTGATAGAAACCAAAGATAGATAAATACCACCTAGATAGATAAACCTAAACATTTAGACCATTGCTTGAGATCTGAAGAGCATAAAATTCTGAATTTAAGATCATGCAGGTGAAGGGGAAGAAAGAAACGTTTTCTCAATTAGTTTATATGGTAATATACAAACCTGAGTTAAAATAGAAAAGAGCGTGATGCATCTGCCTATATTGATAATATTGAGACTTAAGAGACTCTTAGAACGTAAAAATATTGCTTCAAAAATAAAAAACCGTTTCGCCCTCTGCACGCATTAGCTTAAAAAAAGTAATTTAGTCATTTTGCAACAGGAATAACTTTTTGCATGTATAAGAATAAGTTTCTAATAATTTTTTTACAACATCGTTCACTGAGTTGGTTCTACGGACGTTATGTTCTTATGTTGGGTTCTTATTTGCGGAACATCTGCTAATTTCAAATATATCATGTTTAAATTATTGCATTCCTCATTTATTAAAACACCGAATCCACGAAAACGAGCTGCAATTGCACGGTAGACTAAATATCATAAACCTAATAAATAAATCTAGTAATTTAAACCTTTGTCTAAGATCTAAAGCATGTATAATTTTTGGACCAGGAACTGGTCCCTAACCGCTGCTAATCTCGTTGTTGTTGTTGTTGTTGTTGTTGTTGTTAGGGGGCGACGCTCTTTAAAAAAACCCTAAGGCTCTAGCATTGCTTGTTTTATCGGAATGAAACTTGGCACAATTATTCTAAGCAATATTCCGCATCAATTGATGGAGTTCCAATTTTTACTTTTGATCTTTGAAGCAAGTTACAAGCAATTCTTGATATATTTGCAGCAAATAATATATACATATATTAATATTCAGCCTATATACAGGGTGTCCCAAAAAAAACGAAAACTATTGAAATCACCCATAACAATGCCATTGTTAGAGTTTGAATGCCTAAGCACTCTGTTGGGCCCACAAGTGTATAAATCGGGGTTGCCATAAGCATTTTTATGCATGCATATGATGCAGTCAAATTTGCTTGTTCGCAAAAATGATATTTATTAACAATATTTACAATTTACAAATATGGATAACAATATTTAAATGTGCATCTCAAAAACCATGACCTTCGACATGTCCCCTTTCTCTAGCAACACAAAGCATTTACCATTTTATAAGATGCATTAAATCCCCACGGGCTGAAATTTGTGAACACGGCATTCAAATTTTAACAATGAGTGATTTCAATAGTTTTCGTTTTTTTTGGGACACCCTGTATAAGTAAACGGAAACGATTAGAAATACATTGTCCTCTCCATTGTTATAAATACAATGCAGTTCAGAAATTAAACTCGGTTACGCAGTTCCTGGTCCACCACGGGGTGAGTCAAAAAAAAACGGACACCTTTGAAATTCAAATTAGCTGCGAACTTATGGCTGGAATATGACAATTCCCATGTTCAATTAGCCTGCAACGCAGACTATATATTGGGGTATATATAGTCTGCTAATCAGCGGCACAAAGCTTGTATGGTCACGTGGGTTTCCCGAGAAATTGTGGGACTCATTTTGATTGGTTAGCTTATAATTATGCAAAATAATCAAAATTTCAGAATATTTATTATTTTCACAAACAACATGGCGTCCTTCATCGAACCATCTTTGCTTGAAGAAGAGCACTTTTCGGAAGCTATTCGGATTGTATGCTGTTTTTTTCAAGTGGAAAGTCTTCATCGAGAGCAATTCGAGGCACTCAAAGCCTTCTTACTCGGTAAGAATATCTTCTTTAGTGCTGGCACAGGCTACGGGAAGTCTCTAGTTTTCCAAGCGGTTCCTCTCCTCGCTGACCTTCTCGAAGAACAAGTCGTTGGAACCAGCATTGTCATCGTAATATGTCGGCCGCAATGTCGAGAGAACGCTTTCCTTTTACAAGATTTATATCTCACTTCTTTTCCAGCACAGAGAAACAGCACGCACATCAGCGCGGCCATGTTGTCGCAAATAATTATGCAATTTGCGCGCAAATCATATACATAATAATAATTATAATAGCGGAAATAATTCGAACATTCACGTGACCATACAAGCTTTGTGCCGCTGATTAGCAGACTATATATACCCCAATATATAGTCTGCGTTGCAGGCTAATGTTCAATCAGCAAAAACGATTTGATAATACTGTTCTTTTGTATTTACAGAGCTTAGAATGCATTTTAACTCCCAATGGGAACAAACTTTATGTCTTATGTTAATTAATATGATATGCTTCGTATACCAAATATTTTAAGCAACTTCTGTCACATTACAGCCGCTATGCGACTAATTTGAATCTCAAAGTGTCCGGGTTTTTTTTACTCACCCTGTATAGTACGATCGTACTTGTTAATCAAAGATCAGGTGAAAGTCCATGTGCTTGGGAACGAAACAGTTTTCACGATGCGTTTATTTCGTGATATACAAAACTGAGGTAACAAGTGATGCACCTGCGTTTATTGATTACAAGTTTAAGAGACTCTTAGAACGTAAAAATATTGCTTCAAAAATAACAACGTTTCGCCCTCTGCCCCCATTAGCTTATATATCATAAACCTAATAAATAAACCTAGTAATATAAACCTTTGTCTGAAATCTTCGTTTGTCGTTATGAAGCAACCTTGATTAGCAAATGCTTATTAATTTGATAGATTTGGTATATTTACTCAGGTATCGGGCATTAAAAATCTTCACTGCCTTTTATTAACTTCAAAATTTGACGCTGCTCCGATGGCAATCCGGTCATACAGGGCTAATATAGTTCAAACAGGGCTAATATAGTTCAGTGTGTTCAGGTGTGAATCTTGCAATTGAAAACCATCTTAAAACGTCTGATATATAACTTTGACGATTGCCAATCATGATCGATTGCTTAGTGTGCAACAGGCCATTCTTGTTGTTCAATGCCATTTCATTAAAATATTGTTTTGGATATATTCTCTTTTGACTGTCTCCCTTTTGGCTCCTCGAATGAACGGTTAAAAAATGTCGTTCACGTTGCCACGGCGTTGCAACAGGAATAATTTGCTGCTTATAAGAATAAGTTTCCTGAAAGGTTTCACCATATGGTTTCACGAATATTTAAAACGGACAATTATCGAGTTAATTCGGAATGTTATTGAAACTGTTTTTTTACAACATCGTTTAAGTTAATTATAGCCTTTCTCACGATGACGAATATGCCGCCATTTTGGTGGCTTAAGACTTGGTAACGGCGACTGTCTTTAATTTTAGGCTGAATTTATTCTTCAAATGGTCTGTTTATTCTAAAAAAATTGCTTTTGATGTTTAAACATAATTTTTAAATTCATAGCAGAAAATTGAAAGTACCCCAAAACGTCATCGTGAGAAAGGCTAATTGGTTCTACGGACGCTATGTCCTTATGTTTTACTGAGGTTCTAATTGGCGGAACACATCTGGTAATTTCAAATATATCATGTTGAAATTATTGCATTCGCCATTTGTTGGAACACAAAAACGAGCTGCAAGTTTTTTTTCGATCAATTGATAAATGTCATCAACTACAGCCACCGCTGAAACATCTTGAAGGAAGCAATGAACGGAAGAATATGGCAGGTCTTGATATATTCCCATATTTCAGTTGCGGCATTTGGAATTATTGGGAATATTTTGGTCATCATCTCCATATCGAGACAAAGGAAGTTGTTAAAGAGCAGCTACTACTTTCTTGTTTTACACCTCGCCATCTGTGATCTGGGATGGCTGGTTATATTCCTCTCAGAAAAAATTAGAACCACTTTCCTTATTTTCCATTATTCCATCCCGTATTGTCTGATCATTCAAATTGCCTTCTTCTTTGGCGTCGCAGGTGTCTACATGATGTTGATCATTTCAGTTCTTCGTTATCGCGCTACTGTTCGTCCCTTGAAACCTGCCATCAGCAGAAGGAAATTGAAAATTGTTTGTGGTTTGGGCTACATTCTTGGCCTTATCGCAGGCTATGGAGGTGTTGCACCGTTATGTTTTAAGAAGCTCAATGATGCTCAACCGCCATTTGGTAAATTTTATTTCGGTTACTTCGTACTTTGCTTTGACTTGTTCCCAACAGTCTTTATGGCCGTGGTTTATTACAAGATTGGTCGAGCTCTCATGAAACAAAACAAACACATGAAGCGTGTGTGTTCAAACGCAGTAAGAAGCAGATATGTTCGAAATCGACGAACGTTTCTTGTTTGCCTCGGGACCGTTGTTTGTTTCGGAGTTGGTGTTGCGCCGAATATAGTCTATAAAACCCTGTACATATTTGATAAGCTATACTTTCCAAATTGGGTGGATTATCTGGCACTAATTCTGCGCACTGTTGGATCAAACGCACTAAATCCTCTTATATATGGAATATTGGATAAAAAATTGCTGGCATTTTGGAAATTTTGCCCAATGCGGGAATGAAAGTTACAAGAAAGTCAAGCAGTTCTCGTGAACAATCGTAAAATGCGTTTCTTGTACGTCGGTCCTCACAAGAAGTACATTGATAGGAAGGCAATAGAACGATGCATGCAATTTAGAGTAGACTTACAGTCGGTAGGATGATTTTTTTGCAACATATTAATTTCAGGATTATAAAGCTATGATAATAGAATAAAGAGTAAATGTAAAATTGTATTAAAATGCCATAAAAAAGGTTTAGAACAGTTGAAAAATTTGTATGTCGAAACATTAGCCTTGGATATCCTGATGACTACAGGCCGTCGAAACGAAATTTGAGCGGTAAAGTTCATGCATGCAATGAACATGAGCAAAAACAATATGAATTACGTCAAGAGAAAGAAAAATGTATTCTTGTTACAATGTATGTTATGACTGTAAGCATTACAATTATTATATATCTTAGTTACACGGTTTTGATTGACTATGGTGAATATAAGAAGCTATATTTTTTCCTAGAAAAATCATTCGGTAATTACTGAAGTTGAAGTTTGAGCAAGAATGGAGCCGCATTAGTGCAATATGTGTCAATTCGAGAGTTTTGGCTACTGCGATAATAAACACAATCACCAAGGCACGGCGATACACCTTTCAGACGATTTCACACAATCATGGATAAGAGAAACGATACGGTCCGGCGCTTCTAGATGATTCACGCCGTCGGAAAATACATGGACTATTTACAACTACCGTTTACTTTTAGATTTAAATTTTAACCGCTTTTGACGTCCAGCATTAATTTTAGTACTCAGTCTCTCTTCCTGCGCGAACGCGTACCCAAGTCTCTTTGAGCCTGATCTACCGCTCGACCTCGCAGTCATGCCAAGAAATTTGACCTGATTATTAACAGTTTTTCCCGTTTTCCACATTCGCCGTACGCTGTCGGATATCGTCGGCTTAAGTTCGAGAACCAGCGAGCGGTATGCGAAAACGGGTAGAATGGCGATGGCAGGTGTCAATAGGACACAAAGCCAAAATGATCCACTGCTATAAACTGCGTATTGTACGCCGTAGTACGACTGTTGTGGCGCGATGCCGAAAACAAACGCGGAATAGAAGACGAAGTAGAACAGAAAATAAACGATAATGCTTCCCCAAACCGATATATGATTCAGGACTGTCCAGGACTGCATATCTAGAGCCACCTAGAATGAAATTCAATGCTATAATTCAAAGCATATTCAATCAACTTTGCAATCGATGAAAAATTAAATTATGCTTTTAACTACACTTAGAGCATACGACCTATATTTTAAATGCACTGACTGTGCCGCCCACCCACATCATATAGGTCCTTCGCGTCGATGAAAATTACCGCATACCAATCATTGTTTTGGTTTGTGGGCGAATATTTCATATCTTGTTAAAATTTTATGTTGTGTACATGTGGCAAATTTTTGTAAATTTACACCAATGAAAGCGGTAAAAAGACGAAATATGTCACTATTAAAATCACCTGAACTATGTTTCAGAAATAGAAGCTTTGAAATTTCACAATTTTTGAAGCAATCGGCATATTTACGACTTGAAATGAAAGACGACTGGTTAAAGACGTCATAAATGTTCATTCACTCAGTCAATCTAATACACACACCCACAGGTCAGTCCTTCTTGTTCAAAAGCTGGTTAACCTTGTTCCGGGTAAAGCAACAACTATGAATCAAACTTTCCAACAGCTTTAATAATAAGCTAGATCACCTTCCAGACAGATTTTCTGGTCGAATACGGTTGATCTTTTCTAACGTATTGCTAACGACCATGCAATTAGCTAACAAAACGGTAAATTTAAACGGTAAATTCAAACGGTAATCCAAGGGCTGGTTTTCATTTAATCGTAGTAAATTGTCGTGAAAATATTGTGTGTTTGTGAGTGAACTATTTCACATCGGTGAAAATGACCTGGCCCTGAAGGATACAAAGTGTACAAAAAGTGTGTAATGTATGCTAATATATGCTTCTTTTCTCCTCAGCTGGCATACCTGGAGGTTCATTGTGATCACGAGTGTCGCCGCTACAACTGTGCCAAAGAACTGCAGGCCCGACTCCACTTCGCCATCATTGTTCACGTGATCATGGAATATACCGTACGGGACAAAATAAAGCACGAGAGAGACGACAGCGCCGCGCAGGAGACTGAGGAGGAATATCTTCTTGTTGAAGAGAATATTTTGCTGACCAGGTACGTACAGTTTGGGATTTTTTAAAGATACTTTGTCCGAAACATCCTAAATAAAACATGTTTTAGAGAAACATAAGAGGGCAAATAATCTCTGGGTGAACCTAAAAGTACTTTAGAGCGCGTACCTGATCAAAAATGCCCATGATAACAACAGGTAATGACGTAAAGAACACATTATAGAAAGATATAAACCAAGCATCGTATAAAGTCTGGAAAAAACAAACAAAAATTACGATAAAACTGTTTTAAACCTTGTCAACATCTCTCGGCCTTAATTTGCCAAAAAAAAACTTTTTCCAGGGATGTGTAAGAATTCAAGGCGAAAAAACAGAATCAGTCCCAAGTTTATTTAAATAATCACAGCTTAAACGTGTTGTAAGTCGGGCTAAAACATATTTATGCTCAAGAACATCAACTCTGATCTTAAAACGAGGTTACATCGATTGTAGATGTAAAATATGGGTTTTTCGAGAGATCCATTTTCTTGGTTTTCTTAACCGAAATATAGTCGGATGGTGGGTTAGGAGTATCCGTGTAAGCCAATGACCTAAGTTGTAAATATTGCAATGTTTCCGGTGTGGTCTTGAGATAATCCAACGTTTTGTGTCAGTTCGTTTCCTTGACAAACACCATCATGATAAGAAAATACAATGGGTTACCTGCGCCGAGAAGCCGACAAAAAAGGCGAACCACAACTGGCAAAGCGTGAAAGCGAAATTCTTGTAGAAAAAATAACCTAAAAATTTTGCCATTCTCATGTACGACCAGCGTCCATGAACTAACAGCAAACGTTCAAGAAACTTGCAAAATGTCAAGAAAAATAACCAAAAAAAAACAAGTTTGCCACACAGGCCTTTTGAATAAATTTTGAATAATTTTTAAACCAGTTTTAAGTTTGAAAAAAGGATATCTAAACTGTGCGAAGGAATAATCGCTCGCCAAAACAGCTTGCATTCCTTCTTGACCACTAATACCAACACCAATATGGGCCGCTAAAATAAAAGATATCATTTTAATGATATTGTATTTAGCAAAGGTTACTTTGGGATGGGTAACCCTCCTAACGGTGCCCATTTTCATTCTCATAAGTCGAATTTTGGACTTGGGGATATGCACAATTTTTGGATGCGAGGATATGCACAATTTTTGGATGCGAGGATATGCACAATTTGCATTACGGACACAAATTCTTCAGCTTGGCAAAAAAATATTCTTAGAAAGAATCAGCTAAAATTAAGTAATATTACATGTTTGTTGGTTGTGAATTCAGTAATATTGTAAGGTTTGTTTTACACTTTCATTTTGTTATCATGGCAACGATGTATCAAATTCCTAGACAATGTGACCAATCACGTAGTAAGTTGCTTACATTTTATCATGCTGACGTCATTAGCGCCATCTCCAATGGCTAACGTGACAGCCTTCACGTTTCGTTTCACTAATTCCACCACTAGTGCCTGCACGTAACAAAACACCGGGTCAATTTTTGGAACAAGCGTGAACCAGGCTTTATATATTGAAGTTCATTATCAAGAAATCATCATATTTCAACACTTGGTTACCTTCTGAAGCGGCGTAACTCGACAACATATGACTGCCTTACAATGGGTGGCTAATTCTAAAAATTCTAATTCAAACGAGGGATCCAGGGCAAACACCTAAAATCGAGCACAAGAAATGATTATGTAAATTGATAACAATGACACAAAATTTCATCGATAACTGTTCAAATGTGGCGTTGAAAGACAAGGCAATATTTTTAAAAAGCAGTGATAAGTAATTTAAAAATAGGGTTTTATATCGTGCTATTTGAAATCAATCGATGCAGTTTAATTGCGTCCTAAACACACGTTCCAACACGAAATACGTGTATACCGCACAAGGAATTTGCGCTCCAAGCGCTCCACCTTGAAGCACAAATCAGCTTTGTCAAAGACAACAAACATACGCAGTTTATTTTCTACCGACGTTATTTCGTAATTTTCGATATTTACTTCACGAACATTAAATTTTGCATGGTGGCACTAATTCTTCCAATCCTGCCCTACAATACTTCATGTTACAAGGGTGGCCCATGCAATGCGCTAATGCGTACTCTAGTGTAAACTGTACCTACCAAACTTTTACCGCGGATAACCAATGCAAACTCCGAGCTATTCGACGCACTTTTACTCTGTTGAAAAATGGATCATGTTAAAAGAACAAAAGGGAGAGTGAAGATAGATTCAGGAGGGGGGGTGATGAGGATAGATTCAGGGGGGGTGAGATAGATTCAGGGGGGGAATCTGAAAAGGAGATGGGTCCAGGCGGCTGTTACTCACCGTGCTATTATCAAGAACAGAATTAAGCGAGGCATCATTATTAGCATAAGGTAATATTCCCACAGAAACATCGTCATTCGCGATGCTGTTCTCCATGGAGCTACTCGCTTTCGACGAACCACGAACTTTGTTCATATAATCCCGTATAGAGGCCCGAACACTACTCTCGTCCTCGCCATCTACGATGAACGGATCCTCCATTTCATCTGTCAAAAGTTGACACGAGTAGCCAATGTTGATCGCCGTTTCTGTGTAATTGACCAATGGGAAAACGAGTTGAATATTAAATTTAAAGATCATACTAAACTTCATTCAATAATTCTATCTAATTCAATAACTGTCCTACCTTGTTTATCTCCGGTTAAAACCCAGATTTTGATGTCCGCCTAAAATTATTACGACCATTTTTAAGAAAAGAGGAAGATGGAAAAACGATTTAGAAGATGATTTATTAGAAAGTTGACGAATGACATTGCGTACCTTTGCTAAATTAGCGATAGCAGCAGGGACGCCATCTTGAAGTTTGTCCTCAATTGCTGTCGCTCCTATCAACTTCATATTCGTTTCAATTTCCTCGTAAGTCTATCAGAAACAGACGAAATGTCAAGGGTGATACAGAATAAAGAATACAGTACTCTCTGGGAAGAGGTAGGATTTCTAAATACATAAATGTACAACTGCTCGAAGTTACAGCCACTCCGAAAAACGTTCAACTTTATTTGTGTGATGATAAATTGGACGAGAATAATTTTTCGGCAATTTATCAAAACTACTCTGATCTCAGTTAAAAAAAATTGTCAATGCACTGTGCTTGCGGGATAATTTAAGGCTAAAAATATTTCGGCAAATTGCCGAAAAATTTATCGCGTTTAAATTATCGCGCAAGTTTAGGCCACCTATGATTCAACGCGAAATCTTACCTCGTTAATCTTTTCATCCCGGTCATCCGCTGCCGTACTACAGTTTGAAAGAGAAAATCGTTTTTCTAAATGAACACTGAATGCAAAGGGCATATAATTTTGTTCATGCTTAGTAAAGAGAAACGACATATACGAACGTGCCAAAATTGATCGCATTTGCACGCAAAACTATCGCAACACCCGTTTTTGCGAATTCGAACCGATTAAAATATGCAAAGGAAATAAATTGAGCCACTGCGAATTACAACTTCCCAAATGCGATTACCTGGACTAAAAACCTAATTTAAACTTAAAACTTCTTACATGCTGTATTTGAAGTTTTCGTAGATTAGTTGCTTGTTGCTATAGTATTCCATACAGTATTGACAAAAATTGAATATTCTTTTAAATAATAGAAGTCACCCCACTGTGTAGAACTTTTAGGCGTTTACTAAAAAATGCATTGTGATGACCATGTCTTGACAGTATTGTGACCTCCTTAATTCCTTAAAACTAAACTATAGACCTAAATATAGCCGCAATTATTGATCTAGCAAGGTAAAACAGAGTTCAAACAGCAAGTATACATAGTAGAAATTTTGTTAATTCGTATAATCGTACGGAAAATGTCAAAACACTAGATTTTATAGTTTTTTATACCTGGCTTCGTGGTATCGTCCCATCCAATCTTTGAAATATTCTTCGGTAATATCCTTCTCGGCAAGAACTAATGTGCGAAGACCACTCTTGGCAAATGTCTAGGGTAGACACGCAAAACGAAAATCTCGTTATATAGTTAGAGGCAAAAGATGTAACATTATTTGTGCCATATTTCTCATTATTGCCACCTACATTCAGATGTTTCGTTGTTGTCTCCACGAGTTCTTGGCAACTCGGGTCCAACCTCTCGAAAATAATGGTATCTTTAAAAGGAATATTTAAAAACATTTCTCAGAATGTTGCAAGGCGAGAGAAGATTGGGTTTCATACAAAAAAATTCTTAACATTTCGTTTGTGAACCCCTGTTCAATATGGAACTGATATTATAGAAGGTGCTAAAAACTCCGACCCCACCTCCCCTTTTAAGCAGACTACACCCCCTCCCTCCCCACACGTGTAGAGGCAAGACATATCCCAGTTAACATAACATACTACTCTACCTGCTCCTTTGCAGTACAACTTTATCTCATTATCACGCCGCACAATCACCTTGGATAAAAATTTTAAAAAATATTTAACACGACAAGAAATTTATAAAAGCAACCGCTCAGTCCGTCAGCTTACCGACATTCTCTTTCTCACGTTGTCGAAATCCAAAATGCACAGCAATTCCCACGTTTCCTAAATGAAGAACTCGCGTTATTATCGTTGGCAAAGGCATTCGTCACTGGTGGTAAACGATGACGTGTTTTTATTAAGGCACCATCCAGTTAATGGCATTTTTAATGGAGACCTGGACCGATGGTCTACAGGCTACCCCAGACAGTAGGAGATATGAATAAAATTAAGCAACTGAAGACGATCAAATGATAAGATCGTATGCTCTTATCTCAGTTCACCACTGGTAGTGGCAGCTCTTCTACCTTTCTTGGAAATATAGAAAGGTCTCTGAAGAAGGATTATGAGAAATTTGAGTTGAGAGATATTAAGGAATAGCTGTGAACAATCGTACCTCTTTTCCTAAGCATTCAAGGGTCACAGTTGTCGGAGATCTTCTCTGTAAAAATAAATCATGAAACACTTGACAAATTGAATGACTTGAAATCTGCTAGAATCCTGGTTTGTATTTCTGACATTTGCAAGACCTTGTACAGTTACCGTTATCACGACATTACTCTAAAAAGCATCACTCTTTACTAAGCACCTCCTTTGGGAACATTTCTTTAACCCGAATCAGTCCCCCCCTGGAAATCACCTTTCTTTGCATGTGGGAGAAAACACACCCCGGGGAATAAAATACAGCATTCCTCAGAGATCATAGAATGACGTTTTTGAAGCACATGCTGCACATACCAAGAACACAAATCCAAAATTTCGGGCAGCCGTTACAAGAGCAGCTTCGTCGGGAGACTGGGCTTGATATTCCAGATCACCTAGCGATCAAAAAATACTTGTACTATCAAGACATGTTTTACACTAAGGTTCCAAAAATCAACTGCAAAATCCCGACTCTGTTTCGCTTGCGAGTGAACTCACCGTCAACTTCTTCAGAGATTACCGAATGACATAACGCAATGAGTCGAAAAAAGTCGTGCGTTTTCTGAAATTGAAAACAAAGCTCATTGGCGCAGTTCTCACTCCAGATGAACGTATATTGAGATCATCCTCCGCCGAACCAGGCGAGTAAAATAATTTACCTTGCTGTTGCCTTGAATATCAGTCACCAGCGTTTGATCGTAGAAATGAAAATGGTCATCGGCAAGTTGGTTGCCAGAAAAATCGACAGATTTCTAAATAAAAGACGAAATACTGCACATGAGGACAAGCAAGTCTCGTGAACCTCACAATGGATGAGCCCCTTTAACCAAATCCTGGGAAAACGTAAATACACGCAAGTTCCAAAGTGTTTCGATAACTTACTCTTGATCTCATGGAAGCGCCGCTTTGCAAACTGACTTCTGGACCTTTCAAATTACCTAAAAGTTTTGAAAACCTTGTTTGGTAAATATTATACTGTAGATTACGAGGTTTTTTATTAAGTATTACTACAGCAAGCAACTATAGACAACCTGGAATAAAACACACTATAACACTCAAACTCATTGAGTGACTTTCCAAATTACTCACCATATAAGGTACCAGCTATGGAGCATTGTTTAAATGTCATTATATTTTGAGTGAGGGTACCAGTCTATGAAACGATAGATTGTTACGGTTTTGATCCAGAGAGCTTAAGACAAAATGCGTTGAGGAAAACTTAAGTATATTATACTCACTTTATCCGAAAATATGTACTGGATCTGTCCTAATTCTTCAGTAAGAGTCGTGGTTCTAAATGATGGAAATATTGAAAATGCTATAACCATACCGCGGTATTTCTAATATACAAAAGAAAACAACATGCAAATGTTACAAGTCAATGAATCAAAGCAGCGGCGTAGCCAGAACGATAATTGGGGGGGGGTCCATATTCATATATTCGTGATACGCAGGATTAATTTCTTTTCAAATCAATTGTCCTTACAGTCTGTTTACATGAATATATGAATATGGACCCCCCAATTATCGATGCTGGCTACGCCAGTGAATCAAAGTAAGGCTATGAGCACACAAGCGTTGTTTTCGAGCGTGATGAAAATCGTTTTTGTCTATTTTATTGTTTAGACCACGCAGGTCCAACTTAGCTAAGTTTCTCCCACTCGTGCAGGCTCATATTGTCAGCGGACAACTTACATAAAATTGAGAGCAAGGCGTAAAACGAAAAGCTTCTAATTTTTCATGCGAAGACCGCTGGGAAACTGAGCCCTCTTTACCGGGAGAAAATTTGCCGAATATGACCAACGTGGACGCCCTGTACACACGTATCAAGGAAAATATGCTTTATACGTTAAATTAGCCTCAACTTCTATTGTAAATTGACGGTGTTTGAAACCGTTTTGGCATGAAAACGAATGTGAAAACGCTCGAAAACGTTACCATGTGCACATAGCCTAAGGCAAAGGCAAGGCCCTAAGGTCACTAATCTGATGATACATCCAGTGTATATTAGGCCAGTGGCGAAGATTTGATGGTTACTGTAGGTATACGATTTTCGGTTAGTTACAAAATTGCACAAAATGTTACCTGGCTCTCGCTGGTGTAGACTTGGGTTTGTAGTACATCTCTGAGTCCCAATTAATAAATAAACTTTGGCCCAAACGAATGATTTCGACACTGAAATATAGAATTACGCATATTTTATAAATATAGAATTGCACACATTTTATAGGGCACCGTATCAAAATTTGATAAGGAAAGTTGTAAATTACCTTATATACAAAGAAATGGGTATCAACGTATTTAACACCATAATATATCCCGGCCAGTGAAATACTCCGATCAAAGCTGGCGAGTCTTTATAAAAGGATTCCCATTTCAAATATATCTGAAAATTCTGTAGAATTGAAAGCATAAAAAATACTATATACACCTGAAGCATAAATTATTATTTTCAAACTATATTTTATCTTTTGCCAGTGACTAATTTCATAGTCAAATTGTTGCTATTATATCCAGTGTAATTATAAGATCAGTGGCTAATATTATCACGCGACTGCTTTCAGTATTTCTGCTAGCACATGCATGTATTTCCCCCAGTCTACATAGGAAGAGTTTGACTAGAAAAAATACACTTTTTACTCATACTACATTTAATCACACAGCCTGCGTCATTACTCCAGCCCCGGTATACGATGTTCCTATTTTCAAAATGTACTGGTTAGTTTACCCGGCCAGTTTCGCTTTCCCAAAACGCGGACATAATCGAACAGAAGACGCATATTGTTGCAAGCAGCACAGCGATCTGAATAAAAGAGATCACATGTAAATGGTCGCGTAGGAGAATGATTTAAGTATTTGAACTGATGCAAATTCTACAGTAATAATTTCATGTTCAGTAAATCCTTAACACATAAATTTAATCCTTGAGATTGAGTTAGATTTAGGTTAGGATGAGGTCTTGGAATAGGTTTATTGTTCATAAGGGTAAACCCTAATACCCTAGGTATTATGGTTAAGAGGGAAAATGAAGTAAGTGTTCACAATCATCATTATCCAATATTTTCCGCTATTTTGTTTTATGCCAAATATGTTTTTAAAAGAAACTCACTCCTCCAACAAGCTTGTTGAGCAAACGATCCAAAGATGTCGTTTTAAACCTTGCTTGGCCTAGAATTAATTAGATTTAATAAGTGAAAATGCAGTTTAATGTAGCTAGGAAAAAACAAGTTTTAAATGTACATAATTATATTGACTGCTTTCTGCTAATGTGTTTCCCGCGCATGTACAACTTAACTTTGCACGGACAAACTTTGCAATTTCATTCATTCTAAAAAGCTCTTTAATTCTAGCTGTACAGTTTCGGATTTTATTTTACTTAGCTGTGTAGCTATATCAAAATTTGCAGTAGAGCTTCCAAGAGGGCGAGAAAAACAAACACATACGGTAACGTGATTGGCTAGCAAGGAATATTCTCGCTGACCAATCACGTTGCCGAATTTCAGTCTCCGGATCTTTGAGCGCGAAAATTAGGGGGGAAATCGGATTTGCTATAATAACAAAGATGGCGGATGCTGGTAAAAGAAATAGATTTTTCTTTGCGAATTTAAATCGGTAACGATAGAGCAATGTTAAAATGTTTTAATCATGTCACATGTATTAAGTGAGGATCGGGCCACGTTTCGGCAAAATTATGTGTGAAGCTTTGTAATGAAAGTAAAAGTTTCTTGATTGAATATTGAAAATATTGATATGTATAAAACTATATCTTTCTCACTTGCAGAGATTTTAGCCTTTTTAAAAAAAATTGACAGCATGCGGGGATAAAAACTCGTCAAAACTAAAGGTAACCAGTGTTTTCCACGTAATGTGATATAGCAAATTTGTAGATTTGAATTTGTAGAAAATTGTCTCAAAAAGATCTACAGTTATGTGGCCATGTCAATATGAAAGCCTGCCAAACTGCTCAGAGCTCTAGTATTTTATAAGCATAGTATTTTCTATACTGCTGGGGGTATTTTTCTGTAAAAAACATTGTCACATTCAACACAAAAATAAAGACAGGGTCGTCTGCTGTTATAAACAACTGATTGTTGCCATGCAAGAGTGCGGGTGTACCTGTATTCATCATGAGTTTCGTATCAGCTCCGGCAAAAATTACAACACCATATATCCACTGGGTATTTCGTAGGACGCAACCCTATGCAACAAAATTACAATTCAAATTGCGAATTCCTGTTGATTGAGTTCAGCAAAAGTGAAAAGCAAAAGTGAATTTAGTTTAATTCAGTCTAGATATTGGCTCAAAATTACTTACACGTAGGATAATTTTTTCGTTGTCCAAGCTGTATTTTTCGCCCTCCCAATACAAGGTACCTCTGAATTTATCAAGAGTGTTGTTTGGTGTTTCACAAATAATCTCGCCTTGAAAAAGAAAAGAGAAATCACTCAAAAAATTACTCCTAGTCAATGGTCCATTTCCGTATTAAAATACAGTACTGATTGCCTCACCATTGAATTCTTGCAACTCCTTTTGGTCATCACCCATTTCAGCTGTTTCAACCAAAGGTTGTCTGCATTTTAGATTTGTTTCCCTACCAATAAAAAAATTACAGGTTATTGGATAGTGTGAAATGATGTCAGTCAAATTTTGAACTGATGGTACTTCAGGATTAAGTTTAAAACCACAGGATATTAGATGTTTGTAACATTTCAAATGATAGAATTCTTTTCTCCCTTCCCACAAGAAACTGAGGTTGTGTACCATAAACATTGAAAAACCATACCAGTTAAACAGTTAGACACTCATCTCCACCTTACCCATCTAACTCAGCAGTTTCGATATAACAAAGACCACTGTCCTCACTTGTGGTCAAAACTAAAAGATCAGCCTAGTTGAAAATATAGATTAATTTCAGTATTGGTACATGAGTATATAGGTCATTTTAATTACCACCAGTAAACAACTAGCTAATGACAACTACCTATACAACAAATGAATATCAGTTATCCATTGTTTAAATTAGCCAAACACCCTGACAAAAATGGCAACATATTGTGATATAAGGGAATTATTGCTAGGTAACAAAAAAATCATTCCTGACATCACTAACTAAATTAGTATCAATATATTCCTAAAAGTAATTGTGGGTAATTAACACCATAACTGATTGGGGCCATTTCCTACCCCCTCCCCATCAATTAAGGTAACTATATATACTGTTGAACTTACAGGTACTTGATCATTGTTGTTTAAACGCAGTACTTGACCGACTTGCACAGACAGCCATTGTTCCTCCCTCAACTGACCTTCACGGAGTACATTTGTTTTGCGACCATTAACCTCATTGTCACTCATGTGACGTTTCTATGGTAATGTAATCAAAACAGTTACGCATGGTATTGCCTCAGCGAAAAATTGAAAGATATCTCACCATCTGATGGCTCTTAATTTCAACTACAGCCAGTCAGTTGCACTCAAACTAGATACCTAGCTAAAGTGTACTTACTATATCATCATAACCATCCTTCACAGCAGTTGCAAGTAAGACAAAGAACAAGGGTACTGCTGTTGACTCAGGTTTCAATGCTGTTAGTTCTGGAATGGACTAAAATGACATAAATATAATAAATGACTACGGCTATTAACCTATCCCAGGGCTAATTTAGGATTGATTTTTCTAAAAACCAGTCACTAAATCTCTAAAACAAAGTAACCATCACTAGAATTAAATCAAATAACTGTTACCAAGATCACTAGATCTTCTTTAAGATAATTAACAGTCACTTTGACCCATTTTTTGCACATCTAGTAGGTACATCAGGGTGCAGTAAGTATGTGATTTCTAGTTGATCATAGCCATTGGCATTACTTTACAGCAAATGCAGCTAGTATACATATATAACTTTGCTCCAGTGCAATTGGCCACTTACCATTATTATTATTTGACAAAGAAAATAGATATTAGCCAGACGATGAAATTGCTCAAATAAGTTCTTTGGCAGAAATGATATCAAAGTGTATTTTGAAGTACAAATATAGTTATCCTGAAAGACAAAAAAAGTTATGCAAATTAATATTAATCGGATGATGTTGCAGGCATTAATAATTAAATTCTGAAATCTGAATTTATGTTGGCAATGCTAAAATTAACCTGTGACCACTCATGCACATGTGCATTAGATATTTATATAATTCTTTCAGGAAGTAAATTTAGAGTCCACCAAGGCTACCACATTTACATTATTTGTGCTTTATAATAGGACATCAGTGCAAGTATATGTACACAATTACAGTACATATGGTAATTCAAATTTGCATAGCAGTGAGGTTATAATACTTGCACTGGTATTCACAACAAAGACACAAGGTAATTACTTTCACTTTCAGCATTTCACAACACTTGAATAACGTCAAGGGTCATGGTTTATCTCTATCATCCCAATGAGTTAATTTTAATTCATGTGGCCCAGGTGAGTGTATGTGGGATGGCCATGCACTATCGGATCAGAAATGAAATGCTAAAAATAGTAAAAGGTTTCCCTATATATATGTAACAATTTGCATCATTGTTGATTTACATACCACATAACCTTGTTCAACAGTATGATTAGTGTCATTACATTTTATAACTCTGTCAGTTTCTGAAATGCAGAAAAAATGAGCCAACTAAGTTAGAAGGTAAGAAATTAGAGGTTCATGGTATATATAGTATGTCATAGTTATAGATGCCAAGTTCAGCGATGGGCCATGCGTGAGATAGGCACACCCCCACAATTCTAGGGGGGTCAGGGGGCATGCCCCCCCTGGAAATTTTTGAAATTTGGGTCTCTGAAATGGCATTTTAAGCATTCTGAGGATATATTTTAAAAAAGTAGAGAGAAAGCTCAGTCACTATTGACCAAATATAAGTCAAAACCGGCCATATAAAAATCCGTATTAACAGGGTGAGATCAAGAGATGCGGAGGTAAAAAGACCCCGGGTACGAGGTTGATCATGGTATTAAAACACATTCTTGCCCAGTAAAATGCATCAAACTCTAATCCGTAATTCGATAGCGTTACTGCGATAGGCTGATATAGTATACCGGTTGTTGTAATATTGCAATATCCGGCTGGTTGTGTATAATATAGCTTAAAATTGGAACTATATTACTATAATCTCTAAAAAGTAAACTAAATAAAGCATTTAACTTGTTCAAATCTTTTTGAAAATGACTATTATTTCTCTAAATTTTGACTTTTTAGCTAACTCCCTATTTATGTGTGAGATATATCATATCAGTGTGAGAAATAATGCTGAGGCGTGTGTCACACACATAATGCGTGAGACTTGGCATGTCTGCATAGTGGTCACATACTGAAACATAAGAGTAGGATTTGAAATAATATATATGGGAAGCCATATCTGATTCATTAGACTATAAATTATGATGTCTGTGAGTGGGGGTCTACAAAAGAGAATTTTTTTGTCCGCAGAGTTATTTTCAGTGAGACAGTCTTTTAAGTTATGTTAAGGCTGTTTTTCATTTAGTCTGATTGTTAATGTAAACAAGTTATTTTTGCCAATGTATTTAGTCGAAATTGAACTTGTCATTGTTTCAAGACTGAATTAAAACACATAGCAATTTTCTAATACATCAACAACATTGTCATGTTCAAAGCGATCAATAACAAAAAAAACAGCACATAATTAAAATAGGGTAGCTCTTGCAATGCATGCATTAGGTGCATTGTGTACCCTGGTTAAATTTTTTGCAACTAGGTGCTATCACATCAGCATAAAAGGGTTAATGGTCAACTAAAACTACTAGGAGGAAAGTTGTCCAATATATTAGTAAAATTAGGCTAATTAGCCCATGATGATCAATATTAGGACAGAGGAAAAATATATTTGGCATTTCTGGCATCACCAAGGCATATAGTTAAATAAGAAGTGGGATTATGGCATACTTGTCCTGAATGATTGCAAATTTAGATCTAAATCTAATCTTATAAGATAAAAATATCAGTATAAAGATGCTTTATACTAGAAGGTTGCTAGGGGTCATTACGGAATGCAAAACGCAAGGTGCATTTCATTTATAGTTTTCAATATTGTTTAAAATTTTATCACAATTTATTTCCGTCCGAAGTGTCGACGGAGCGATATTAAAATATGAGAAATAGACCACAAAGACCACAACAAAAAATCTTACGACAAATATTATCGACCTTTCAGCAAAACGCTTAACACGAGTGCAAGTGATCGGCTTGTAAAATCACTTTTGAGCTATTTAAAGACTCTGCCTATTTCGAATTTACTTTCCCTTTGGTCTTTGTCAACAATGCCGAATATGTGGAAAGCACTAAATTTAAAATCGATCTATAGCAAAATTCCATCGTCGTCTTCGGAAATACATATATTGCATTATAAGTGTTTCGATTAGTATATTAGTATATTATTCTTTAATACCTTCGTGATCATCTTCCGTGCTCGTTTTAAACTTTGGAACACAAGCCAACGTAGACATGATCGTCTCCAATATTTAATAAATATTAAAATGACCACAAAATCAAGTCAAAAAAATTCTTTATCCTGAGCAAAACACGCCTTTATATTTAATACTCTTAATCCACCATAAAACTACAGCTATTTTCAAGTATTATTCACCGATGATAGCTCGCTGATTCATTTTTGATTTACGCCTGTCTTTGTTCAACATATCTCGTGATAAATTAGCCAGTTTCAATTTGTAATAGTAGATCGCTAAGGTCAAGTTTGTTGTGTTTGGGAAGCAATCGAACTATGATTTGCATTCGAAATTCAAATTTATTTATGAAATTTCGTGCGGTCAAATGCTAATTTATGCAATAATTGATATCATTCATGCAAGTGCGAAATTCCGGCTTTTATACGAGTGTTGATACCTTAAAGAATCTCGGAATTTTCATTCATCGTGATCGAAAGCCGAAACTGCAATATCAAGTAGAATTTAGCAAGCCTTTCCTTTCCTAGCGGCCTTTCCATTTGACAGATTGTGTCAAAACTGTGGTTTTGTCTACGAGGTTTTGCCTCGGGGTATGCTGGGTTGCATTGTCCTTAATTACTGCTATAACGTTGCGAGTTTTTTTATAACTGTAATTACGATGTTCGAATAATTTTTCTGATTATGCATTCCTATTATGTCCATCCATTAAGTCCTTATTATGCATTCCTAGAAATGTCACGAGTTTTCTTCGAGTAAATTTTCAAACTAGAAGAAATGACCTTCGGTAATTAGACACCTCTTTTTGTAGAATCTGACCACTGGTCTGATCTCTATGACTATATTAATCAAGTAAAGACCCTGGGTACGAGGTTGTATATTAATTAGGTGGGCGCAGTGGGTGGGCGCGATTTCCTTTGGCTTGTGTTTATATCTATGGTTCTCACCAACGTCATAATAGGGATTTTTTCCCTACGTCATAAGTCCGCCATATTTATGATATTCATTTGAAAATAAAACCCATTAATTAAAAATATCTGAGTACACCAACATAACATGGCGGCCTAACGTCATGTGAAAATCATCTATAGGCAAAGAATAACCATTATCATCCATTGTTTTTTGTATAAGCCATTCGTCATGCATGATTCGTCATTTGAGGGCCAACAGTATAAATCCCTTATAAATAAAGTTTTAGTAATAATAGTAATTCGTCACTCAGCAGTCAGCAAGTACCGTAAATAGAATGCGAATATCTAAAATGACGCCATTTTTAAATATTGGCAAGGGCTGATTGCTGTATTACTGGCCGAATGACGAACCATAACGAATCACACTTGAAAAAATGAAGTTGTCTTTGTGATGGGTATTTTGCGTCTATAGATGGTTTTCACATATTGGCAAGTATATATCAGTGAGCTCAACTACAACTGGAGCGATAACCCAGAGAGGGGGCTTAGGGCGGATGCCTTTTAGTTTCTCTAAGTCTCAAAACTGAAACTATTGAAATATGATGTAGAAATTTCAATACTTTACCTGAAGAAAGACATATAAACTATTATTAAAGAGGCCCAATGGACGTTTTTAATTATTTATACCTCTACTATGCCTATAACATAAAGTTCTGACTAATTTCTAAATCAAATAGTAATTTTAAATGACCTTAGTTTGATATGTCACCGACGTTTTGATCGGAATCCAATATGTCGCAGTTTAAAACATCTTTAAAATAGAAAACTATTTCGGCTTCGAACAACTTATATGGGTATGTTTATCACTCAGATGTAAACTATCGTTATACAGTTATCGTTCCATGGTCCACTGATATACACTAGTGCTTTAAACAATTTTGCTCTTTTGATTGGTTTCCCAGGTTTCACATTTTAATTCTGGGTAAGCGGAACACGTAGTCGTAGACATGCAGCCTGAAACACATGCAAGCATGCAATGACTTTAATCAATCTACCTGTTATCACTGTCTTGTTACAATTCTTCGGTCGAACAGACATCGCGGTGACTGAGAATAAACCAATGCCAATGGCAAAGAAGAGTTATTGTACATCCATGCTTTGTCGCCGGTTTGCGTAGGAGTTCAACAGAATAGTGTCCAGGGATAAATTGCAAATATAACCGTAATATTTAAACGTTTGTTTTTTGTTAGTGTAAACAGACGTCGTCCCAAATGTGTAATTTTTTTCAATAATAGCAATGTTTTGACGAAATAAACCACGTATATTCGAACTCGACAACTCAAGTAAATCCCAAACAGGCGCCAACTGTATCTCTTCTTAGAATAAGTCGAACAACGATGGTGGTCAAACTCAAATTAATCATATGACCAAGTTGTAAAACGTTTCAGGTATATTATTAACAAATCGTCCACTCGACTATAAATTAACAATCGGGCCTGAAAGTCTTTCATCTGCATACATTATATAGGGGTTGCGACAGCTGCATGAACAGGGCAATTATTCCCGAAGCCAGCTTATATATAAGATCGATGATTAATGCTATCTCCTAATCTTTAATTTTACCGCTTCAATTTGATACTTTACAAATGTGTCAATGGTCAAGTGGTTGTAAAAATATTGCACTTCAATGACAATGCAAGCCTCTTTAAGTTTAAGCCATCGTTTGCACCCTATTGAAATAAATATGTTAAAAGCTCGTATATACACGCTACATGAGAACGAGCGTCATTGCCATATATTTTTAATATTTTCATTATATATATATATATATATATATATATATATATATATATATATATATATATATATATATATATATATATGTATATATATATAATATATATTTATTTATTTATATATATACCAAGTATGTGTTTATAGAATCATGCATATATGAATTAAATACAATAACCTTGGTTTACTTCATATGATTTTATTCACTATACAAATTTGTTTCGTATAACAAGCATAACGATATATATATTAATAATATTTGTCGTTTGTCCGGTGATTAAGAGTACTTGCCAATCATTGCCGGATATATTGAATGCTGCATGCATGTGCCGCCTCATGCAGCACACGACCGGAGCTGAGAGAAGGGAATTACTGATTTACGTCAAAGAGAAACTACGTAGATATATGCCGGATATCCCGTCAATCTAAACCTGAATACGATAGAACAAGCACCTACAAGCACAAGTTTCTATACCGCTGTAAATTCAATTTTAGCAATAAAGAATCAGTTTTTTCAATATGGTTTTTCAGTAATTAACTAACTTTAAAAAAGGGGTTACATGCAGGGGCTCTTGGGCATCGGTTCTGCTGGTAACATTGGGGGAATCCATGACATAGAAATTGCCCCGATTTTAGCATATTTTGAATTTCTTTAAATCTTATTCATTTAGAAATATACTAACCGAAATGGTAATAAATATTCCAACAGGACAGGATATTTTAAGAGATATATTAATTCAATATGTAAACAAAGCGCTTAATCGTACCCAAGAGTTAAATCAAAGTTGCAAGTTGCATAGAGTTAAAGTTAAATATTTCAAATACTTTGGACTTGAATTCACAATAAAGTCTTTCAGAATTAGGGATGCTTTTCGCCCACTTACATTCACGTTTCTCGTACGTATATGCACATACGCAAGTCGGAATAAATCAGAACTTAGTTTTCCGCATATTTAGTTAGTATGCATTTGCTGACCTACATGTTAAAAAATAAAATATTAGACGCATTTAAAATATTCCGTACGTGAACGTGCCTACGAAAAACGTAAGCGGAAATCAGCCTTTAAAGACATGTTACAGCGGCTTCTGCATGGCCATCGGTTCTGCTCATAACCGACTGCGGGGGGGGGGACTCCATGATTTAGAAATTGTCCAAATTTCGCATGTTGTAAATTTCTTCGAACATAAACTATATATCTCTTATACATTTAAAGATATAGTGAAATGAAATAGTAATAAATATTCCGACAGCATATAAATGGGATATTTTAAGATACATATATTGATTCAATATATAAACAAAGGCAAGGCGTTTGTTAACATCATCGACTGTAACCCACCTTTAAGCAAAGTCAGGTGTTATAAAACTGCTTATCTACAGTCTAAACAAAACAAAACGTTTATCACTTTAAGTATTCGTGCTTAAAAATGTCAAAAATTGAGCGACATTTGTCTTAATATTCTTAAAACTTTGTACAGCTAGAAGAAGATTCTTGTAATTTATTCACAAGAAGTTCACGAGAAGTTCCGATCTCTTTATTGACGTCATTTGATATGCCGGACGTCTTCAACTTTAGTATAAAATTTTTCTATTCCAGGCGACTATGTCTATGAAGCAACTATTTATGCTTTGAAGCATCTAAAGGTGATTCAGTGAACGAGCAAAATCAGGCCATTCACGTTTTGTCTGGAAGGAGACTTGAAATTATCGTCACTTCATGGCAGAATGTGACTGCAATCACAAGATTCGTCGTTACGTTCCTGCGCCAAACTCTTTTTTTCGCTGTCGTCTCCATATCAGTTTCCTCATTGGCCAGTTTTGAAGAAGGCGAAATGAGTTCTCAGCTTTGAGAAGGGCCAAAAAGCATATATATGGTGTGCACGAACATTAAATCCTAAGCATTGCCTGCAATGCATACTGAAAATCATGCATTCCGGCTAGAATTTTAATCCAGCACTGAAGCGGAATTATATGAACAGCCTCTGAAGATCATTTCTAATCAATTTTTCAAATAGCCTGCGCGCGCATATTTGCAAGCATGCATTTAATCAGGTGACGTAACAATAAATATACATTAATCGTTAAATCATAAAAACAACACGCACATTTCATTGGCAAGTTTTCATAATGAGTAAAGCCGCGTCAGAAAGTGTAGATTCTTTACTACTTTCCCCGAAGGAAAACAAGTTGGTGGTCCAGACACTGGGAAAAGGAAAGAAGGTTCATTTATTTACTTAGTTTCGAATGTCTTGAGGCTAACAAGGTGGAATTTCGTTTTCAACTTCTATAGCGCATGCATAATGACTTAAAGTTGAAGCGCAGTACTAAACGTTACACCGATATGAATTCCACAATTTCAATTCCACAAATTTTTCATTCGATGTTATTCTGCCTCTGGGACATATTCACATCGGGTCATTCTCCGTAGCAACCGACGTACCACCGGTTTTTTCAACAGAAACACGGCTAAGAATTCTAAATAATCGTTTCATTTATTATATCAAATTGTGAGGTAATAAAATACTAGCTACACTAGCAGATATATATTATCAATAATATTAATAATGTATAACTCGCTGAATCAGCGAATTTATTTACAGTTGCAACAACGGCCAATCATAATGTATAACTATTTACTACTTCCGGTAAAAAAGTACATTATTCACCTTTTAAATCATGAAATAATAAAAATATAAGCGTTCAGATTGGCTTAGCTTAAAAAATACAAACAAATTTACCGATTAGTTCAAACAAAAACTCCGCCTTGTTGGGTTCATTATTTTACTTAGTCTAGAATGTCTCAGTACGACTGAACTTCTGATAAAAATCGGCTCGATCCTGTATCTTAATTTCATCAATTTCATACAATATTTTATTTGGTAACTTTCTACCAGAACAGCTATTGTTAGGATAAGCATTACACCATTGGTTTACAACAGACAATCTCAGGTCGCGGAGGCCAACTGCTCTCTCCCAGAGCCCCTGGGAAGCTCTGATGTAACAAATCGTTTCCTAAAATTGTATGTTTTTCAGTCGATAGCCACGGCAGTCGCACAGATCTACTTGGCCCTGCCTAGTGATCGCACGCGATGGACTAAACTCGGGGCTGGAGTGGTATGTCTGGTGAAGGATAAACAAGAGAAATCATTCTTCATTAGATTCCTCGATATCAAGGTGGGCTTGGGGAACTTGGCGGGCCGGTTATACGAAAGCTGGATATAGCGCTGTCAACGGGATAGTAGGGACCTTAAGATGCACCAAATCTACGACGTGGACGTAACATGAAATCAGCCGGAATTGTTAGAAAACCAGTTTAAAATGGTTTTACATACAGCTCTGACCTTGTTTACCAAAAGGAGTCCATAATTTTTATTCCTATTGCCAAACTATGGAAATGAAGACAGTAGTAACTTCATGCGTCTGCGTCGTAGATTTGGTGAAGCTTAAACTCACTAGTGTTTTTTCAATCGCTCCAAAATTGCCCGGAGCTCGCGGTGAAGGCGTGAAGCGTATAGGCATCAGTATTTCTAAATTGTGAATTCTCTTTAACACTTCCAGGCTATCTTCAAATGTATAGTTTTATTCCTTTGTAAGCATATTTACAACGCTTTAGAAAGCTATTGCAGTGAATAACACTATCCAACCTAGCTTCGTACAACCAGCCTGCATGTGCTGCCTGTATGTAGAGTCAGTAGCAGTATGATAACATTGCATATATATGGCAATAGATCTATAGAAAGCAAGAAAATGGCGCTAAAATTTGTCCATGCACGATTTCGACCCGGCGATCAAATTCTTATCTGCAAGCACTTAATCCGGACGAATTCAAGAATAGTAAAACGGCATTGGTTAAATTAACCAAATATAACACATTCGATTCAATTTCTAGGAGAAATGCATCGTTTGGGAGCAAGAGCTGTATAAACAGTTCAAATATAGAGCCGTCTCGAAATCCTTTCAAACATTCTTTGCACATGTAAGTCATCTTTCCTTCCTCCTGCTGTATTGGAAGTATATACTTTTAGAGCATATTCATTCATGGTTCATTGAAATGTTCGATGAGACGTCTACGTAATTCTACCAAGCAAACTATAGCCCAAACATAAATAGTGAAATATTTTCAGGATTGCAGAGCGGGAATAAATTTTGCCAACGCAGAGGAAGCCGCATTGTTCCGGACCGCCATTATGGAGAGAGTGAATGTTTTTAAAAAGAAGAGAGATGGTGAGCGACCACGCTGATTAGAAACAAAAGGGAGATTTAGCACGAGGACGTGAACGTCAAAGACGACGTGAAAATGGCGAGTAAATGGCGTGGCATGTCCATATTTGGGCGCATCACGCCATTTATTCGCCATTCTCACGTCGTCTTTGACGTTCACGTCCTCATGCTAAATCGCCCTAATATATCTTTTACATCTTCTCCCCGATATCAAAATTTGGTTCATTCAGCGCAGTTTTCTGCTTCTAGAAATGCGACAGCGGAAGATGGCAGCCTACCAACAGCAACAGCAGTTGAACTTCCAGATGAACGCCATGCAAGCGATGCAGAATCCTTACTTTCGCATGCAATTCATGCCTCCCCAGATGCAAAGCATGATGTTAATGCAGATGAGGGCTCCGGCATTAGCGGCTAACCAGAGGGCTCAACTGCAAGCGATGATCAACAGTATGCCGCCTGAGGCAAGGCAAGCCTTCGTAAGGAGTCTGAAATCTGGTGGTTCAATGGCTTCAATGTATGGTCAACCCAGCACCATGTCTGGTAAGTGCATGAAAACTAATCGATCCTGGAAATCATCGGGAGGGGTTGCCCCATGCCCTCCTCCTCTTAGGCCTTCCAGAGCCCTAAGCACATCTAAGCGCATCTTTTGTGTTGTGTTTTCCTACCTCAAATGATATCAGGATCTAGTCTGATGCACGCGACTCATGCGATTGCATTAGTCAAAATTTCACAAACTAATCTAAATAAAGAGTATACCATACTCCGGTAAATTCAACCATGTTCGAGTATACCATATTCCAGTATATTCAACCATGGTCGACTATACCGTATTCTCCAATATATTTCGAATTTAAGGTAAGGTAAGGTCGAATATGCCAGAATATAGTTACTCGACTATGGTCGAATAATTATACTGGAATATGGTATACTTGATCCTAGTCAAATATATCGTAATATGGTATACTTGACCATGGTTGGATGGTATGATCGAAGTAGGTACCGAAATATGGTACACTCGACCATGGTCGAATATATCGGAATATGGTATACTCGAAAATTAATATGGCATACTCGGCCATGGTCGAATATAGCGGAATATGGTATATTTGACTTTTGCATGGCCGAATACAGAAAAGTATCGTTCAAGTAAGTGACATCATAAGCGGTCTTATCATTTCTCTAGGAATGTTCGGTGGTCCAGCGGCAGGAAGATATCATTCAAACTTCGCAATTCCGCAAAGTACAAGTCAGGTGCCTCACCATCCGCAGACCGCAAAAATACGTATGTTTGACTGCACGTTGGAAATTTTCACAGCTATAAAAACAAACACAACATATAGAAATGTCTTACGTCGCAATAGTCAGTGGCGTAGGCAGCCTGACGATTAAGAAATCGACTTATAAAGATGAAAATATTAAAATAGCAAGACTAACTCGTCAGGATAGCTACGCTACCGCCCATAGAGTTAAAAAATGAAACCTTCCGGAGAAGATCACTCATTTGCAGATTGAAGAACTCTAGAAGGAAGCCAGTAAAATTTAGAGAAGTTTTTACGATATTTTACGTGATCTTTAGGACGCAACTGTGAACGATAAAATGTAAACAGCGCACTAAATTTTCCCGTTTTAGCACAAAATGTGGCTCGTAGCCATAGGTCCAAACAATCACATGAAACACACAGCACTTTCCACCCGCCACCACTAGAACCGGCGCCAGCTGCAGTACCTTCATTTCCTGTCGAGGCAAGACCTTCCCCACCACCTCCCCCCATGGAGGCGGCACCTGCACCACCGCCTCCTCCAGCGGGAGCGGCTGCCCCACCACCGCCTCCAGCGGGAGCAGCTGCCCCACCACCCCCACCGCCTCCACCATCGTTTGTTCCGCCGCCACCTGCACCCACCCCTGGGGCAGGTTCGGGCGGTCCATCTAGCGCGAAGCCTGCATCAGGTAGCGTTGATAGAGGGGGACTATTACAAAGCATTCAAGCTGGAACGAAATTGAGAAAGGTTGGTGTAATCACTGCGTTTTTATGTAGGTACATCTTACATCGGTTGTGATTCGCTAATTCGTGGTCACGTGTCTTTAAATAGATGCAATGTTTCCCGCCAAATGAAAAATTGTTGCGGCTCAGAAAAAAATTATAAACGAATTTTATACACAATGTGAACATCCCTCCATGCATTTTATTAAAAAAAAGGAGTAGTAAATTCATGAAACGTCAATTAAAATGAAGCATCAACACTGTGGTCATCTTCTTTTCCAAGGTTAGTGAGTCGACCAGCGCACGTAAAGAAATTCCCAAGGTGCAGAGCAATAGCATGCGAGGGGCACTGGCACGAGCGTTGGACAATAGAGCCAAAGTACTCGGTAGGTGGGGCCATGTAGAAATTTTGCCACCCTGCTAACCACTAGGAACTTGCGATAAGACCACTGTGATTGTGGACACTCTACCAGACTACCACAGCTCGAGCTAATATAATAAAAAAGGATGTAATAAAGAAATGTGTTTGTTTGACACTGATCTGGTACTCCACTGGATATAACAACTATATATACATGAACTTTCACGGTTCCGGATCTTCTGGAGATCGTGTATTCTGGCTTCGTTTTCTGATAGGAATTATTACTATATCCAGTGCATTAGCAGGTCAGCGAACTTCGACTGATTTGTTTAGGTGACGAGGATTCCGACGATGACGACGAATGGGATGACGACGACGATGATGATTGGTCAGACTGAATTTGAGCTTTGATTTAGGAAAATGAAGAGGCTCGCGGAACTGGAAGGTATATTATGAACTGGGAAATATATTGTGGAAAAGTTTGTAAGGGTAGGTCAAAACGTCAAAAGAAAATTGTTTATTTGTACTATAATTTGCTTAAATGTAAATGTTCGAAAATACACAAGAGGTTCCAGAATTCGTTCGCACCTACTGAATGCAGATCATCCTTAATAAACCTTTTGTATTTTGTTTTCTCACGAGCTATGCCTAGGCCATTACCTAGTTTCACTCTCAGAGGCTTTAGTATCAAAACGAGTGCGGACAGACGTGAAGCGTTCGGCTTATCGAATTTCATTTCTCAACCCCGAATGCGCTCAGGTATCATACAGCCATATGAAGGTCAGATTCACTGCTGTTGATTCCACAAAATCAAAGACAAGCATTATTCCGTATGAAAGATCTCATTCATAAAACGCAGTAATAGTCTCTAATTTATATAAGCGCTCGTGTGCGCACACGTTACTTCATTGCAATTATAACACAACATTTATAATCTCAAGTTCATACGAATTCACCCCACCCCTGCTCAAATTCAACAGTACTTTTAGCGCCACCAAAATATCTCCACCTTCAACACGTCATATCCTCTTTATTTAAGTACCGAAGCATTCGGAATACACCTTTTTCATAATGACGTCAACGCGAAAAGTCTGATGTTACGCGAGGTTTGATTGGCTCGATAGTTTGGTGGAGCCAATCAAATGTCGTTTCTCAAATTCAAGATGCAACTGTTACTGTACTGCGACCCATATATAACTTCAACATCAATTACTCTTATAGACTTCCATCATAATTATGTACATTCAATATAAACATAGCCAGCCAATATGTCGCCTGGATTTCTGCAAATTTCGGTTTACAGTTGAAATTTTGCATCAGGAAATCCCAACAAAATCTTAAAGAAATAACTCAAGGAAACAAAGCCAGAAATAATTAACTTCTTCAGACCAAATGAGAGCAATTTATTGGGTAACTATGTATTTTAGTAATTTTGGGTCCCCGGAAGTTAATGACCTCTGGCTTCGTTTCTCATACGTGTGGCCGCTATATCCAGCATATTATCAGATCAGTGGATACACCCTGAGTTAACTTTTCTATTTGCTATTTGATCCGAATATCCAGACCACATACCCGGAGTGACTAAGGTATATAAAATCAATTAATTTATCCAACAGTCAATACTAATTTATCTCCACTTTCATTTATTCGCTTCCCAAAACCGCGGCAAGCATGCCAAGCGATAACTGTCATTGGCCGGCGCACGGCTTTTGTGGAAAATTTCTAGAATCCTCGGATTATTTCCATGAATCATTACCGTTTCTCGGAACGTTATAGAGCGACATCGTCCTCGTCCTCATCGACCTCGGGCTCGATCGTGTGGTACTCCGGCTGAGCGCCGATCGGGTGTTTTAAGTATTTGTGTTCCGCCCCGCGAATATTGAGTATGGTTTTTGAATAGTGACAGATCACTTTAGGTATGTCCATGAATGGCTTGCTGAACTGGCCCAGGATAAACTGACCGTCTAATTGGCGAACAATTTTCAGATGGAGGAAGTTTTCGTTGTTTCTAGAAATATATAAACCAAGTAAGCTAATGATTGCCAGAAATCTAATAACACAGTGTTTAAAAGAACTATTTCAGTGGTCAGTGGTTTATGAACTACATCAATTTTGATATTCGTCAGCTCGCATGCAGGCGCTAAAGATAACTGAAAAATACGCACACTACAGTGCTTACATAGATCAGTGGCTAACCTTCCCATGCCGACTGTCATGCGCGCTGGTTCATAACTGATTTAGTTGATCATTAACTAATGATGATTATGATGCGGTAGAGTGAGTAATAAAAGTAATTACTTCATTGACAATGAGAAATCTTTTTTACTGCTTTCGCTATTCCTGACAAGAAAACTACAGTCAAGTGCATCGCGAAGTAACTCCTCAGCTTCTTGTCGCTTCAATGGACCATGGTACCAGCTATAAAAGATCAAAGGTTTGTGGATAAGGAAAATTACATTGTAAAATAATTGTGACAATCCTTGTGAAATAATTGAAGTACATATTTGGGCCAATCTAGTCTAAAAGTACACAGGTAGCTGCACCCCACAAACATAGTTGTTAACAATTTACAACAATTGCTAAGCCTCAATGTGCACAACTTGATTCCCTGGTTGAAAATATGGTGTTTTAATACCTCTGTTGATCAAGGGGTAAATCTGGATTGATGTCATGTGGATTCACAATCTCTTGAACACGAGTTGGTTTGGGAGGTCCGATTTTCCCAAATGGCTGTTTGTTTTTATATTCCCATGGCATGTCATAATCATCAGTTGAACCAGGTGGAATTACAGCTGGTTGTGAAAACTTTCTATTGGTATTGTTGGGAGCACTTGTCGGTCGAGTGGGCTGCGAAAACCTGCGGTGGCCGTCGGCTGCAGCTCCCCCGGTTGCATCCCAAGGTGTTTCATAAACCCCCTCCGCCTGCGGTTGCTGACCATTCGACTGGTTCATTGCATCCCATGGCTGCTCATACAGTTGGCTCTCATTGTTGGGGGGTTGTACCTGCCTTGGCAGCGGTACGGGTGATCTTGATTTTGCATTGGGGGTTGGTGCTTGTGTTTTTAGTAAATAACTCTGTTTTCTTTCCCAGGGCTCGTCATAATCGTCGGCATGTCCCATAGGCTTTCCTGGGGGTTTCCCCGAGAGCGATTTGTCTTGCTCACTGGGTTGAGGGTTCGATTTTGGTCGCTGATTTTGCAGTCCTGCTGGCTTGGGAATTTTCATTCTTCCCTGCATTTGAATTTTTTGTTTCCATTCCCAAGGTGTGTCGTAGTCATCAGATCCTGACTTACTAGACAGTAAACAAATATGTGTGTCAGACTAACTTCATTAAGCTATAATAGATGCTTCCTGAATTTTTTCTTGGGCAATGAAAGCAACCTTAATAACAATAGATAACATTGCCCACCTTGCTTCCAAGCTATATTGTTTTGTGTACACTCAAGCAAATTCGGAAAGTGTCTAGTAATTGTGAACTTGTTTTGTATTTAAGGTATTTGGCCTTGTCATTTACACTGTCTAATGCAAGTTTAGAGAACCAGACATGGATAAATTTACAGATTTTGATCGTGGAAAGGGAGGAAAGGGAGAAAGTAAATTCTAACCTTTGGTCAAATGCTGGGTTCTTTGGATCAATCTCAAAAGCACTTCTTCTCTGTTCATTGGTTAAAACTTTTCCTTGTGGACCGAATCCTCGGCTCATACGTTTCTCAATGATCCCCTCCTTCCCTGTGTCATATGGGTCAAGATACTCATTGACATCATCTTCTGAGGTGCCTGGTTTCTTTGACATATTTGCAGGATCTGTCTTAATTGTTGAATCCCAGGGCTCACAATAGTCATCTTTAATTGGCTTGCTCCCTTTCATTTCTTGAATGAAATCATCTTTCCTTTGGACATCAATCGGGTCACAATAATCATCATCTGTATCTGAGGGCTGCTATAAATACAACAAATTGCAGAAATGTAATAATCTTGTAGCCAAGTCCACATTAGGGTGTTATAGAGCTTCAAAATGGGTTAAAAACAAGGAGATGGTACTGTTCATTAAACCGTTAACTACAGACAGCACGTCTCTAGAAACAAGTACCATCTAGTATACTCTAGCTGTGGCTATTATTTTAAGAAATATTACTACTATATTCATAACAATTTTTTCTATGTTATTCAATACCCACAGGCATTAACTCTGACACTAATGGTATTATCAATGTGATTTTAATAGCTTAGTACATTTCGAATGCAACCCCAGGGTTAAAAATGTTCCAGGTATGTACTTAGCTCTCCTTAGGGACATTAAAGTGATTGGTTTGTTCATATAAATTAAGGCGTGAAAATGGCATTAGATTCGATAAAACACGGTTCTTTATATTCCCAACTGTTCCTATTCCGGGCCTGAAAATCACAGTAACTTTACTATCACTACTTTTCATGATATTTAAGTTATAAATAAACATACAGCACGAAAGTAAAATGTGCCAAAATGTAACCCGAGAATGTTGCTAATTGTTGCAATTATGATTCGAAATGTGCTCTTACAAAGGAAAAATATTGTGACAAAGAACATTTTTACAATGAAATTCAAAGGATTCACAATTCGTCAAACTCGTGAGGTCATTGAGGTGTGTTCTCATAAATAAACATAATTCACTGCGTTGTCTTTATAATGCTTCCTCCTATATATTTTAGCTATTTCACATAAACACACTATGATTTACCTATGGATCTTAGTCGAAAAAAATTGAGCTGTTCTCAATGAAAGGCGAGATTAGGAGCCGTGGATTATAGTTTTACAAACTACAACACTGTATATTTGCTACAAAATATTAGAAATCTGTTTACAGTTGAATTATGTCGATAAATTGGACAACATAGGCGCGAAAACAAAGCCAACATCAGTGTGAAATGGATTAGAAAACCCCGACATTTATCGCCAAATATTCAGTGTTTCGACTCGCAGATTACAATGCAATTCCCACTCTCTACACATCATTTTAAGGGAATAAACAGCGTTTCCTAAAAAGTGCTTTTAGGGAAGATATAGAAGTCTACAAGGAGAATGGAACATGTCGAAACGACTTTTACTCAAGAGGTTTATTTACCTTTTTTGTAATGTTTATCCTTGGCGGAGCTCGTTTAGGTTCGCTAGTGACTACGCCAGGGAAACTATTCCTGTTATTCTCTGTATTTTGGGGCTTTTTATTTCCCTGTACGGGCACCGTATCTTGATTTTTTCGACGTGGATTTGGCGAGCTACCTCCATGACAAGGTCTTGGCGGTGGGTAGTGTGGATGTGTAATACCACGAGAGTTTCGCGATGGCGGATCCGTAGCGTGTAGAACGGCCGGGTCTGTATAGCTAGGACAATCCTCGTCCGAATCGTCGGCCTTTTTCTTCCCTTTCATCCCGAACACTTTCTTCATTTTGTCTTCGAAGTTTGCAAGCTTAAACTTTGAATGTTAATTTCGCCCGGAAGTGAAGTGCCTCGTCACGATCACGTCTGGGAAGGGAGGGTGCGAGTGTGAAATTGTGTAATCATTATCGGAACCCCGGATTTCACTTTAAACAAGAACAGCATGAATTTAAAAATAACCTTTTGAATACACGTAACACTTGTACAGATTTGTCATAATAAAAAACAGATCACTGTTGTGTATTAAAACACTTTATGCAGAGCGGTACCGTGATTTCACAATACGAGCAAGATTACCCTAGCGACCCCTTCCCCGTGTAGTATAACTTGTCTACAGCAGGCTCGAAGGTCGCATTAGACATTTGCTGACAAAAATGCAGCCGAGCAAAGCAATACTATTGTTTACAAGTTTCTATTTTAGTTTTAAAAACTTAAAAATGGAAGAGCACTCCGGAGTATTCGTGTTTCATTTCTTGAGTAAGTGCAGTTCTCGAAGAAAATCGAGATTAGTTTCTTGTAGAAAATTGTAGAAAAGAGTATGTTATATTTAGTATCAATATTAATAATTAATTTGTCTCTAATTTTAGTACTCCTTGCGGAGTGTGCACCAATGGTGCACCTTGAAGAAATTTATAAAGATGCACTGGGTTTGTTTAGTTTGAGGTATGTTTATTAAGTCTTGGAAACCACAGCAAAATAATGCACAACAGAATGACATCAATGCCATTTTGACAACTTGTTATTAAAAAGTTAATTATCAATTAATTTTGTATTGCCTGTGGTATACAGTCCAAAAATTTCATAAAAGGGAGAGGCAGGGCCATTGAAAAACCAGTGGAGTACGAGACACAATAATTGGGGGGAGGGGCACATATTCATATATTCATGTTAAAAGCAATCAATATCTGAAGGAGTTTGTTTGGTGTAAGAGGAATTTATGAATATGCACCCGTCCCCCTCAATTAAGCTTCAAGCGATGCCCCTTTCGGAAAGCCGCCTGACTTTATTTATAGTTTATTGCATGAGATAGATCTACAGATATATGAAATGTCATGGATCCTTCCGGATCTCAGATATGCAATTTGTGGTGCGATTTTACCTTCTTTCAATTTTGTTTTGGCAATTATATGACTTTTCCCTCAAATTAAGAACAATCAAACAACTTCTGGGTGTTTATCAGGGTGTTTTTCTGCATAGTAAAATGGATAAGAGACAGGGTCGATCAGTCCGAAAGACCTAATGCATTTTTCACCATTTATAATATATTGTATTTTACACAATATTTCACATGTGTTCTGAATGTGTTTTTACAGGCCAGGGGCTGATAGTGGCATAGAATTTGGCTGTTTTATGGTTCCCTTGGTATTGTTGAGTCAGATTGTGTTTGGAAAACATTACCCATTTATCTTACAAGGTAATTTGCCTTGTTGGAACTTAATATATATATATATATATATATATATATATATATATATATATATATATATATATATATATATATATATATATTCCACTTGTCTCTTGGTAATTACCATTGGCAAGCAATCTACTCAGCGTCAACAACATTCTAAAGGCCTATTTAGACAACACAATAAGTTGCATGCAATTATCATTTTGACGAATGCAAAAGAGGGCCTATGCCACAATCTTCATACATATTGTTCAGGGTAGAATTTAAAGTGTCACGTTTGTATGAGTCTTCATACATTCACATACGCCAGCCGCCAGGGTAAGAATTGTATACAACAAATTGCAGTGTAAATGGACCTTAGGTTTATTATTGCAAGTCAAGTAATTAGTTGGCAGGCAAAACTGACACAGCAAATATGACAGAGCAAATATGCAGTCCTACACTTTCCACTTTAACCTGCTTTCAACCCCCCCCCCCTGCCAATAAACAGCAATTTAGCAGTTTCATTGTATTAAACATAATTATTTTCAAGATCAGTGGCAGTTGTATTACAATGCAGCACTTTTGATGGGGTTATCTACAGTCTTGGTGATATTGGTGTTAAATGGAAGACGAAACCTAACAACTTTAGCACTAGTTCCACTGATTTGTTTTGCTGTCGCCAAAATCGTACAATTTGAATGGAAAAAAGGTACGCAATTCATCAAACTTCAAGTTTTTGCATGTTGGCTAGATTTTTTCTGACTATGTAGTCCAGAATAGTCAATATAACAATACAGGAGGGGGCGGTTGTATAAAACTATTTAACTACATTTTGCATAGTTAAATCCTAGTTAACTTAGAAATACAAAACCGTGATTGGCTAATTCTGCCCTTAGTTAAATAGTTAAAAGTTAACTACCGTAGTTTTTTATACAATTGGCCCCAGCTGTATACGAATTTCTATCATTCTGCGACCTGTAGTTTGTACAAATACTTTAAAGACACCCTGTAGTTTGTACAAATAGTGTTTCCTATTGCTATGAAAAGAAAAACCCGTCTGTAAATTACTAGGATTGTTTAATATTCCGGCTTTTTTTAGACACAAACGAAGTTTTTCTCGTTTCATGCCTGTTGTTGTATTTTGCAATATTTCTTTTCATCGTGATATGCCTACCTAACTCGTTTACACTCGGTGAAATGATGGTCGTTGCTCAAACTATGACAATCCTTCTTATTGATAACGGCATAAGTATTTACAGCAGGGTAAGTTTTTACTTTCTAAGGCATGAGTTTAATTGCCTAAAAAACATCTATTGTGGTCCTGCAAAATGTCGGGATTATGCACGTTTATTTGGGACAATTTTATTTTAAAAACTGATGACTAAACTAAAAACTCCAGTGCATGTTCATTCTTGGAAAGATAAAAATTTCATCCAGGTACTATATAGATTATAGAGATCAATGGCGAAGAACAGCGAGTGCGCAGGGGTGCTTGGGAGAAACAAAACAAAAAGCACCCGAAGCACCCCGCGCGCTCGCACTTAGCTCGAATTAATGAAATACGAAGCTTACAAACTGTATGTGGATCACACAATTGAACGTTCGCAATTTTTTGCGTGTTCACGCTTGAATAGAAACGTGTTAACGTGAACCCAGGATCTGCCGTTTTCGCTTTCAATAAGGCACTCAAACCGTTCTTTCAGCTTCGTTTCGTCTTTCCTTCCTCCTACTATACCGCCGTCACCAACGTTGATGAGCTGCCATTCGCAAGATCTGAAGTAACATTCGTTCTTCAAGTAAGTGAGATCTGTGTGGATTCTTAATGTACTTTTTTACTTGAATCAGTAGAACGGGCGTTACTACTTCTGTAGGTCATAATGGGGGAAAGGGTGGGAGTTTGGTTGTTATGTGTTGGGGGAGGGTTGAACGTGGAGAAATTGCCATCAACGAGCGTGTCCATTGGACCAACGGCGTGTGTTTTGCTTTTAACCTTTAGACATTTGTTGTTGGAACTCTGATAACTGGCCTGCTTCTTTTACCTGTGTTTTACTATCTTAGTATTGTGAGGTATGGGCTATGTTATTGCAGCACCGGGACTATAGGGCAAGCGGAGACTTATCCTCTCAATAAAAAAGACAATATTATTCTTGTTTTAATATTCTCTAACAATGCATTGCACTGTTTTTCACTGATTTTTAAGAATTTTTTTATGCCCCTGCTGCTGATGAATTCGTTTGCACTGTGGAAAAATAATAATATTTTCCTAAGACCCCATCTCCATCCCCTCCTCTTTTATCAAAAAATTGCTCCACAGTCTCTGAGAATGGCGTTAAAACAACATTAAAGTAGGTTAATTTTGTTCTGTTTCAGCGAACCAGCCGAGCTATGGATAGGCTGTCTCTCGTTCTATGCCATATGCCTACTTTCATTTATGTCTGTCTTTCTACCGTCATTCTACATAACACTGGGAGGAGTAAATCCCGTCCTTTGGGCTGTAAAATTTTTGTCTTTAAATCCTACAAGGGTGAGTTTACACGTTGTATTATACACGACGAGTCAGTGCAAGGGAAAAATCAAACAAAACGGACCATTTTTAGTTCCTGAGCGTGTTATATTTTTGTTCGATAATAATGCAGCCGAAATTTGCCCGATAATTTTGTACTTTTTTGTTTAACCCTTTGTTTATCAGGACATGGAAATCTTGAATTTTTTTATCATTTTTTGTTATAAGGCTTATAGTCATATGCTAATCACAAAACTATTGTTTATTTGTAGTTAAAATCACAGCATGGTAATATCATTAAAAACATTGTTTTACATGCAGATTCGCCTCATAATATATTGGTTCGCGATTGTCCTTCTTTCGTTCGCCGTTGTGGTTTGGAAGAGTTCGTATCACGAGAAGAAAGACGACCGCCCATTGACTCCCAATATCATAGTTAGAAAGATTTTCCATATCCTAGCTGTAGCTATATTCATCCCTGGAATCCTTTACGATCCCTCGTTGCTCCACATGTGTTCATCTGTTGCCACCTCGTTGTTTCTGTTCATAGAGGTAAAAATCTCCAAATTATAAAGTCGATCTCCCCTCCCAACTGAATTTCCTCCCCAGTTTAAATTAGCCAATTAAGAACTTGTAAAGGTTCTCATATGCGTTAACTGTATCATTTTTAATTTTGGATGGAAGACATCACAACAAAAGCCAAATGCATGTCGAATGGATGGCGTTCCAGGGGCGTATTTTAAAGCATTGTTTGATTCAGTTTATTAGATTTGGTCGAATCAAACCGTTTGGGGAAATGTTTCACAGACACCTGTCACCTTTGATAGATCAACGAGACTCTGGTCCTCTCATATTGACTCATGTTTATCTTCTAACCGGCTGTGCACTGCCTTTGTGGCTATTTCCCTTGGACTATCACAAGCTGTCTCAAAATGGTATTGTTGTAACTAACCTGTGGTAACCAGTTACATTCTGTAAAATTCTTACTAAACCAGACTTAAAGTTGAACCTGTCCGCTCAAAGATATTAATTTCTACCATGCCTGTAGAAATAAACACAAATATTTGCAGGGCCTTATTTACCACATTTTATAACATTTTGTAACAAAAACCATGTTCCTTTCAAATCTTTATAGAATATACTTTTTAATTGCCCTCTTTGGAATCTACATCCAAATACCAAGATAACCGTGTTTCTCATTTCAAGGATGCAATTTGCTGCTTTATTCTGGTGTGCTCTCAATCGGCGTTGGAGATGCAGCCGCCTCTGTTTTTGGTGTAAAGTTTGGCAAACATCGTTGGAAAGGTAATTACACCTTAAACTTCATCGCTTCCACTTGTTCAGTTAGGGCATGTTCGCACAGTTGCTCTTAGCTGAGATTCGACGAAGCGTGAGATGACTTTGAGGTATTGAAATGAGTGTTTATGAAACCAAACTGAGGCACATGCAATAGTTAGGATGACTACATTACTGACAAAATCGTGTTATATGATCATTTCAATACCTCAAAGTATCTTCTTAGTCTCGGCCAAGCGGGTTCATGTAAACAGCAAAGCTTCCGACTTCCCAAATAGAATTTCTTATATACATGCACATTTCCAGGAACGACGAAGACTGTCGAAGGAACTCTGGCATCATGTTTGTCGCAGTTTTTTGTCATATTTTTGTTGAAGACAAATGGTACGTTTAGTTTAATTCAAGCTAGCCGAAATAAGTCTAATTTTGAGAACGTTTTAATGGCTCATACCGCGAAATATATTCCGGTTTTCCATATACAGGAATGGATATGAACCTCGTGTCGGTCGGTCTCGCCGTCGTATTATCCTCGTTACTCGAGGCTTTCACGAGTCAGATCGATAACCTTGTGTTACCGCTGTACACGTACACCGTGTTGGCAATGACCTGCGCAACTTAACACTATCAAACATCACTCGCAAACAGCGATGGGTAAAACGTTGGCAGACGGCTCCCCCCTGAAAATGTCCTCGGAAGATTCTCGCCTGGGTAATATATTGTGATGGCATCGCGGGAACCAGGTGATCTACCGCTCATTCTTTAAGCCAATCAGCGCCCAGAATGGTTGTCGAGAAAGAAATCAATTCTGCTTTAATCCTGCAGTATTTATTTGATTATATTTTTGTTATTCCTGATGAAACTATAGACGGAAATCGTGTGATTATGTTTAGTTATATGAACTATAGCTCTGACATCATTTTAAACCGAAATGAAGTATATTCAAGAGATATTAAGTTGTTTCAACCAAGAAATAGATTTGACAACCAGTCCCAGTTCTCTCCCGCCATTCCTTGAAGGGACTACGTTATTGGCCCATGCAGTTGACCGCGTGACGAGATGCAATGTTGACGACTTCGTACAGGTTTCGTCAGGTGCTCGCGTGGACTTCGTATTCGTATATATACGATCTTTAAGACGATGGGAAAAAAACTAGTATATAATACTTAAATAATGCATGTAATAATTAGACATATTTCGTTAGCAAAAATATAGTCGATTCAAGTCATATCGAACAATTAGCCTTCTTAAGACAACATGTAATATGATTATGAAATGCACAGATTTTGACAACTGGATTTAGTTTTTATTGTCTAGCGACAGGTTGTTGCAGACACCAGTTTCATTGCAATTGTTAACTATGCCAACAAAGACGCATCTACGAAGATTGAAATTCGCTGTACGATCGATTATTGCTTTACTTCCTAACTTTCAATGCGCGCAAACCTAGTTCCGTCAGGCCACCTCAGCATTCAGACGTCAACAATCGCCAATATCTGCCATGCTTTTTTCACATTTTCACTTTTCATCTTAAATGCAGCTCCTCCAGGAATTATAATAGCTCAGTGGTTTTGTCTAATTATCACTGTTGCCACCAGGTGAATGCCACGATGAAACTATTCGTCTCTGCATGACAAGAGTATTTATTGTATAATTATTTATTCGACGGACCTAAGCTAAGCTCTCAAAGCGAAGCGCCATGACTACGCACCAAATCTTCGTGGGCAAAAATATTGACAAGGAAAGCTTGTATAAAAACGGAGATATCAGCTCAAAGGTTAGCCAAATTTGTTCTCGAATTTTTATGATAATATGGTCAGTTTTATAGAACCTTTGGTCCTCAGGAACTGAAATTCAGAAATATATCAAGTTGAAATATTGCCTTTGCTTTCCCCTTAATCATTCGCGAACTTTTCGACGGGCGCTGCATTTAAGTAAAGGTGGCATCAAACTGCAATATATATAAACAAGGAAACTCTATATATAATAAAACTGCAACAATAAGTCAGGAGCTGGGAAAATAAAGACAGTCTAGTGCACTTTAGTTTTTCCGAGTTTTTAGCAGAAATACACGCACTATAAACGCTGTGCTGTATATGAAACTGAAGCGATTGAAGTTCCAGACGCCGTTGCTGGTTGACTTTTAGATATATACGAGCATATTAGATTGTGAATTCGGCAAAGTCCGAAGGTAAGATCTTAAGGCTCGTTTACACTTGCGATTTTATGTGCATATCTCAACGACGAACACGGGGAGCCGGAGCTCATTGTTTGCATTATTATATACGGCTGCATCGATCATAGCGGACATAGCCAATCTGAAAACGTCCAATTTTAGACGGAATGGACAGGGAAGACCCGAAAATATCATTGCCCTTTGTGGAAAGAGCTTACCATAAAATAAGATAAAGCACTGAAAAATGACCGCGCAAAAATAGTATTCTATATTCGCAACCCCCCGCAATGACGCTCAGTTGAATTAAGGTATGGGAAAAAATGGTGATCCCAGCGAACTAAGCCTGGCCTAGTTGTTTTTACGACCCGCGTAATCGGGTTGGCGGGTTGTTGTTCGTTTTGTATCTCCACGCTCGTTCGCTGGAAAAAACTGAGCAAAACTAGTAGGTTTCATTCATATTTATACTGTCTTTACCTCACAAAGCTATATTCATGCCTAGCCAGGCATTACATGGTAATTTATTCCTTAACGCATATCATTATTGGGGTTGCATGTGAACAGTGGAAATTTTATGTCATTGTCTGAATGGTTTTAATAACTCTATATATACTATATACTATACTCCTATCACTGTGTCAGTTATGAATTGTGCATATATTTTATACTATTTTCATATAGCGAAATTTACTAGGAGGAGAAGTCTCCGCTCCACAGAATCCATTTCCACGAGTAATTTGGTTTGCTTTTCTGGTCATCGAGTAAGTTTATTTCTAACTACTTGTACGAATTTGAAAGGTGTTGCATAAGCTGGCATGCAATTACTACAAATTTGTCCCGTATTATTTGTCTTCGTAGTATTTACAGCAAGTGTTATTTATAATATTGGTCTTCAACTTTTTCGAGTATATGACACATGACTCGTGGCATTTTTCGAAGACGTGTTCAGTAGCTAAGAAACCAGTGAATAAGATCTATTCTATAACACTTGACTCACATAATATAACCAGGGAGCAGCGTGGCAGCGTCTTCAAACAGCTTAGCATCAAATGTGGTATAACAACTGCCTAAATTAGACAAAACACTTCTCGACGTCTCGACCTGAGGGCCTTCGTCAGGAAAGTTAGTATGGTTTGCCGGCCGTTATATAGGAATGCAACTCACTTGCAAATAGTATCGCCGGTGCACATCACTGCAATGAAATTTGCCTCTCGAGGCGAATTCCTCACGAAAAACTATCCGCACACGAGAGTAACTTGCTGAGATTACAGCTACGCCTGGTCTTCACCTCAGCTAATAGCTCACGTGCATGTGCGACGGGCTTAAGCTTCTAGCTATATGGCCCTTACTGAATGGCACTATGCAACTTTCCTTGCAACTGACAATGCATTCCACTCCTGAGGCATCTAAAGTTGTCAAATGCTAACATTTCTTACGATCTGCCAACGTTTTCTTCACATTTCGAGCACTCTTTACAAATTAACATCCCTCAAAATTATAATTGATTGTAAGTTGCAAGGAAAATTGCATAGTGCAAGTAACAGCGCTTCTTAAGCCCGCCGCACATGAGAGCTATAATCAGCTGAGCTAACAACTGAACGACCTGGCGAGGCAGTTAGCTCAGCCCGAAAACACGAGAGAAACTAGCCTCTCGAGGCGAATTCCTCATATGAAAACCATCTGCACACGAGAGAAACTTGCTGAGCTGAACAGCATCGCGAGGTCTTTAGCTCAGCTGACAGCTCTCGTGTGCGGCGGGCCAATGCGTGCTTTTTTATCTTAATTGAATTTCCGTTATATAGTTTCTACGACTGAGCTTGATTTCTCCGTTTATTTCAGAGTGTTTTTGTACGGATGTTATCCTTTGTATGTCACGTTGAGCAAAGTTAACAACGAAATCAAGTACAGCACAGCGTCCGCAGTTTTGCTTATAGAATTTGGAAAGGTGTGTGCTGTGAGCGAGCTAGGCCCAATTTTTTTGAAACTGTATTATTTAAGAAGCAAAATTAATATAAGTGAGCACGTAGCACGAGCCCTTTTCGATTATATTTTAATTTTTTTATTTTAGCTGGTTTTTTCGCTGATCAATATCTATCCATTATGGAAAAGAGGTCAGGTGGAAAGACAACCGCTGATCGTTTGGCTTGCATTCTCAGTTCCCGCTCTCCTCTATTGCTTCAACAACAACGTCGCTATCCTGGTCCAGCGGTATTTGGACCCAGCTAGCTATGTGGTAGGTTGTTAGATTGTGCCATATCACTTTTGGAACATAACACTGTGTTGGTTGTTGCTACTGTTCAATGTTGTCGAAGCATTCCCTCTGGGGATGGAAAAGGGATTTTTGCCGGTGAACATTAAAGCATAATCTTGAGGGAGCAAGATATTACATTCTACATTCGAGATGGACCTCTTCTGCTTCAAAGGCCCTTTCCCACTTATCGCAAAAACGTACTCGGAAGCTCGCTGCGAGTATTAGAGGCTGCATGTAATTAAAATCAACCTGAAAGCATTTTGATTGGATGAAAACCCTCGCAGCGAGCTTGCGAGTTCGCCAATGCGATAAATGGAAAAGAGCCTATACGGAGGCCTTAATGCATGGATTACCTTTGGCGCCCGACAGTGCCTAATCGATCGGTCCAACTGAAACAATCCTTATGTATGTATTATCTTTCAGATCGTCAGCAATTTGAAGATCCCAACTACGGCTCTACTATATCGAATTTTTATTAAAAGGTAACATTTAAAGTTTCGTGCTCTCCCCTACATGTCACTACATGTCACGCATGTCCCCCTTCCTTAGCTGATGAACACTGACGAAATGCCTTGTTTTCAATCACAATTTAGACCGCTGACTTGGATGAAGTGGCTTGCAGTTTGTCTGTTAACCTTGGCAGGTGTGCTAAACTCGTAAGTCTGACATAGGTTTATGTAAAGGGCAACTTCTGTTTAGCCTTTGGGGAGTGGTGGCGTTTAGCTAAAATAGAAGTACTTAGGATGCTGTATTGTGTGGTTGCTATGTTGCTTGATGTCATTATAGCTGAAAATCTATTTGAAAGGCATTTTTTGGTGAATATAGATTCGGCAATCTTGTATCGGAGGATAAGCTTGAAGACAATGCAAATAAAATCCATGTCACAGTAACCGGGCTTGTGATAATGACCGTGTATTGCGCGGTTAGTGCTTTTGCTGGCATCTGGACAGGTCAGTCATCGGTCTATTGAAAGATGGCCCGATTTTTATCTTATTCAAACCCCGCCAGTCTTGTTTCAATTTAAAATAATAGGTTCAAAACGGATAACAAAACATTTATATTTATGCAACGTCTATCTTGTAGAACTAATAGTGAAGAGACAATATGAAGTCTCCATCCATCAGCAGAACTGCATGTTATACGCGTTTGGCGTATTGTTTAACTTCTTGGCTATCTTCACCGTAGAAGTAAAAACGTCCTCAAATTCTCCTGTTGAGGGTAAGACTATTTTTAGCCCATTATGGAACGGCAAGCCATGCGTTATTCAAATTTCAACACATTTCTCACAATGCAATTCGGTTATGGACAAGTCGGCTTACTCGGCTAGTAATATATAGTATATCTAGTCACTGTTGATTAATCCGTTTCATTTGTTCTTTTCTAGGCGATAGCAGCATTTTCTCAAAGTTGAATAACCTTTTTCACGATTATAACATATGGGTGGTAGCCATCGTTTGCTCAGAGGTACGAATAGATTTGTTTAGCTTTTTCTTTCCGCAGTCTTCTTTTACCTGTACGCATGCGCGCGCTTCAGGTCGCCATGCCGAGTGACAATTTGGTTTATAAATAAAACCGTTTGGTCGTTTTTTTGAGGGACTTGTTAATATTACTTAAGTTCTTACTGTTCGTTACTGCTAACTTGAATTTAGTTGCACTAGTCCTCATCACCACACCTCACCGTACCTTCAACGAGGATTGACTTTTAAAGAACTAGATCGTAGTGCGAAAATATGTTTTGGCGTGAAAAATAAAACCTTTTCCCCTTATTTCTAGACTTGCTGCGGCTTGATAATGTCAGCTGTCATGAAACATGCTAGCAATATAACAAGACTCTTTATTACGTCAACGGCTATGGTAGTTACCACTCTTCTCTCGTACATTTTATTTCAATTTGAACTGAACGTGTTCCTTCTAAGCGCTCTGGGATTGGTTATTTTCGCGTTATTTTTGTATAACCGTAATTGAGGGAAATCTGGCACATGCAGGATTCTGAATTGAAGGCGAGTTGTAGTTTTCCTAAAAACCTTAGAGGTGCCTACGTCACGGGACTGTCAAACAATAAATTGCAATGCAATGTGAGAAACGTGTAGAAGAAACTGTGTGACGTAAGATCTATTACGTAGTTATAAGTTTCTATTTTAGGATTTTTTAGGATTTTAAAAAAAATTAATATTTAAAAATAAATATTTCTCTTATTATTATAAAATGCTCATTGTCGATCATCCAGTGTTCAAGCAGATCAAAACTTCTATTCACTTTTGAGGGAGACATATTGTTGATGTTAAAATGAAGTATCTCGTGTTACAGTAACTACTTGTAAAATGTAAAAAATAACATGGCCGAAGGCGAAGAGTGACACTTTCAGAACGTTCACAATTTCTTCAAAGAATGGCCTCTCCTTCGAGCTTTTATGGCGGGCTCTTATGGAATCTTATGCTTCTTTTTGGGTGAGGGATGTAGAGTGTAGTTTCTTCATTGTTTTTTGTGTTGAAACGTCGTAAATATGCAATGATCATGTGACACAGTGTGAGGCCGTCACAGGAGTTATGTGACGCGCTTTATAAAAGTATGAAAATAATGAAATGGCATAAGCATATGCTTTGCAAAAAGTAGAAATTGAATGAATATAATAATGAATGGGCTATATATTATATGAACCCTAAAAGTTGTTCCTCAAAAAATGCCTCCATGAGCATTGATTTTTTATTAAAATCATTTTAGTTTTTACATAATGGTTTGTACCTTTCAAAAACACTACTTTGTGGGTGGCATGACTAGAACAAAAGCTGGGAGGGTGTGGGGTTTGGGGGGTGAATATTCATATAGTTAGTTCTGCCTTTTCTATAGTGTCTGCAGGCTGCAATTTTGATCTTTTATTTGATGCAAATGTTCATTATTTGTAGTAATATTGTTGATTTGAAGTTATGTATTCCGTTTTTCCTCAGCTCGTTTTTGTATGGATCGCATGTCGTTATGCTGAACATTTGTAAAGTGGATGGCAAAATCCCATTTAACTCAGCTGCTGTTGTGTTCTTTATTGAATTAACAAAGGTGAATACTTCATCTCTATAATTTTAAAGGTGTAATGTCCAGTGAGGTTCTGCCTATAATATTACAACCTCATAGGAAAAGCCATGAGTAAAGACCTTGGTTACGAGGTTGGGGTACCTGCATATTAAAAAATTACCTGGCACAGACTGTAGTTTAAATTCATTTAATTTGCAAAATGTAAAGAAAGCATTAATGTTTTCATGACGACTGGATAAATTGAACTAAAAGTAAGAGTGGTCTAGTTATAAGCAACCACCAATTACAGTACCTTTACAGCTTTACTCTCCAACCACTCCTTGCTACAACCTCAAATGTCCTCAATCTACCACTGCATCTTCACCCCATTCCTCAACCAATATCCTTTCATCTGCCAGTCCACCAATATCAACCTTAGCACCATGCACCCGCTCTTCCCTGTGCCACATACTGATAGCTTGTCCAATTCATCAATAGAAATGTGACACCACCTTGTAGTTTAATTATTTCTAACCTATTGCATTGGTTCAAACATAAAGTTTGGTGAATTAACAGATAAACCTCCTATTTTCAGCTTATGCTATCTATTTTGATGTTATTGCTCGAATTTAGAAAAGACAACAGAGTTACCATGGTGCTGCCAACTCCAAAGCAATTCATCATGTTCTCAGTACCAGGGATTTTATATGCTGTCAACAATAATCTTGTAGTCCACATACAAGCTTACATGGACCCTGCTAGTTTTCAGGTAAAATGGACAGCTGATCTATAGGCTGAAATTAGCTTTGGCCCAGGCAATCACCAATGATTCATATATTACGGTCGATCTTAAAAATCATTACCCTGGTAACTCAATATGTTTTGTTCTCAATACTGTGCTGATCAGCCTGATCTTCAGGCAAAATAAATTTTATTAATTATTTATTATCATCTATCATTTGAAGTAACTTTCAACTTTGTTGATAACATATGCAACAATTTTTTTTTAAAGGTGCTTAGCAACTTGAAAATTGTAACCACTGTCATTTTGTACAGAATTATGCTTAAAAGGTAAATACCAAACTATACCAGTAGTCTATTACATTTTCAACATGAATTTAAACTCAATTTTGATAAGTGTGGTTGTATTCATTATTCACTCAAATTTTAGACCAATTTCAACAAACAAGTGGATTGCATTTACATTGATCACAATAGCCGGTGCCTCTAATAGGTAGGTTGTTATAGTGTGGCAATCAAATATATGTATACATTACAATGTTTGTAAAAAGCTAATTCCTCTTTGGCTATACATTACTGTTTGGTTATACATTTACTTTGTTCTAAATTTTCACTGATATGATTGCACTTTCTGCAGCTATGGTGGATGGTTATCAAATCAGAGTTTACCAGAACATCATTCTTTGATGGAAATTCATGTGACATTCAATGGAATCTTTCTCATCCTTTTGTTTTGTTGTATCTCTGGTACAGCAGGTGTATACACAGGTATATTTAAAGGCATGATTATGACTAGTTTTTCATCATATATAGTATGTATATGTCACCTAACCTACTGATCCCTTATTCCAAGCTTCTGAAGGCCATAAATTAAGACCTGCTCACCCATGAGGCCTTTAAGGCAGCTGAATTAACATTGTACAGTAATATATAGAAGTATATTACCAGCCCAAAAATACTCTGTTTTACACACTGGCAATTCATTTTTTAATACTTATATAGAATACATTTTAAAGAAACAAGCAAAGGTAAATACATTTATTTTGAATTTAGAAAAGTTAATTATCACTTAATTAATTGACATATCTTTTGAACTTTTATATATATTTTAATCATGTTTTTAGTTGCCATTTGCTGTTCAGAGTATCATGCTGTATATCTTTGGTGTTGGAATGAACTTCTTTGCTTTTTTTGTATCACAACTTTTGAGAGCCAGCTCCAATGAAAATCTGGGTAAGTTTAGCATTTGAGCATTCTTTCTTATTGACTTATTCCTAAGTAAAAATGGGTGCTAGGATATTTTCTAGACATCACTTACAATCACTGCTTCGCGCTTTTCTTAATAAACTCTCGCAACATTCGCGCGTGTTTAGATCAGGTCATCCAAACATGGAAAGTAATTGTAAACTTAGTATTTTAATATAGTTATACACAAAACCCAAACCACAAAAACAATCGACTAGTTTCCTAAAGACAGGGCCGTAGCTAGACCGCTTAATTGGGGGGGTGTATATTCATATATTCATGTTTATATACCATAAGGAACAATAGCATACAAAAGAAATCATTCGGGCATAAGACGAATATATGAATATGCACCCCCCCAATTAAGCTTCTAGCTACGGCCCTGCCTAAAGAACAAAAATATACCGCCGTCCGCCGAATGGATTTCGAGTGCTGATTAGCTAAAATATGAGCGCGAGATCACCTCATTGGCTCCTCATTGGACCATTTGGACCACCTGGTCACATGGTAGACTGCGTTCTTTTATAAATTTCGATTTCTATAACTTCGATTTTAAAACATATATTTATTACAAATTAAAGAGTGTTGAGGTTTGCATGTATACAGAGGATCTCGTTAACAATTGGTACGTCAAAATGTGTAGTTTCAATTAAAGCTTTTCAAATTTTTACAACAGTTGAAAAAATCACTATCCGCTAGATAACGCTATCCAGCCTTGTACAACAGGGGGAGCTCCTATGTTGTATGTTTAATTAATTTGAATTCCGTTGTTTGTCAAATAGGTTTCAAAGAAACTGGAGACGTATTTGAAGGCTTTTCAAAATGGACTCTAATCATCATTGTTTCTCAGGTATGATTATACTTTTAGTGTATCACACTGTTTTATTTTACTGTGATCAGTCAGTGTGATGAAATCAAAATTATACAAAACAGCTTTGGGACCCGTATAAAAAGGAACCTTCATTTTGTGGAATCATTAAGATTGCAGATTATGTTAAGTTTATGCATAATTTTAATGTTTTGAAAGTAGTTTCTAAAAGTAAGACGATCCTCAGAAAAGTTAAAAAAAGTTAGAAAAGTTAGACTTTTCTCAGGCGCAATAATCAATAGTAACAGGGTATTCTTTATTATGTGATAGGGTATTCTTTATTATGTTGTGTAAAAGGCCTGCATTCAAACGATTCGACTTTGTCGGATCCAATGAGCAGTGCTACATTGGCTATTTGCTCTCAATATACATTGCAAGGCAACAGACTATAAAAGATCCATCAGAATTAAGTGAATTGGATATCCGACAAAATTGCACTGTGTGAACAGACCTTAGCAATAACCAAAATAATGGCATTGTATCTCTTCATTTAATTAGGCATTAAGTGGAATAATTAATGGAGTGATTATGAAACAAGCAAGCAGTTTAACAAGACTTATCCTAATCGCAGGGGCTATGTTGATAAGTACAACATTATCTGTTTTTTTATTTGGTCTTCAATTCAATGACTATTTCATTACAGCTTTTATTTTAGTTATCATTGCAATGTTTATTTACCATAGACCTGATAGATAGCAACAACTAGGGTTTTATTTTATATGGATTTTAAACATTTCAGTTCCTTTAATTAGCCAACCTAATGCAAAATCAGAAAATTTGGCCAATTAATAAAACTAGAAAGGGCTAAACTGATTATCCTAAAACTGCTGTAAGAAAATATAGGTTATAAATTGAAAACAGCTAGGAAAACTGTTGTGCATGTGCCATATCAACTGAAATATGAGTTCAAGAACTTGCTCACAGCATTTTATATGTGTGAATAAAGTTTCTCGCTCTATATCTAGTATGGTCATTGTGTTTTGGAAACTACAGCAACAAATTGAGGTTGTAATTGTTAAATTAGCAACAGATTTTTGCAACAGCAACTTTCACGAAAGCCTCAGCTGATTTCCTGGCTGCTTTGAATTGAACAGGAATTATTTTTATCGCACTTAGAATGTGCAGTTGGAGTTGTATTCATTTCTCCATGAACATGCATCTATATTTTTCTCTTTTTCCATCAATAAAATGTAACACCTTATTCACATAAATCATATATAATACAAATAACTTTAAATACACAGTAGATCTTTGTCATTCTCCGGGATCCATTCGTCTTGGTATTTTGACCGATGGTTTGTAGTCTGATGGTGGTGAACTGGCTCGTGATGAATCCCGTTTTCTTTGTTGCTGGAAATATAGGCAACTCATTCATTACAGACATTTCAAATTTGGCCATCACACTGTCTATTTTATACCTACATACCCATTACAGCATAATGGGCACATATCATCCTGGTATGCTGATAGTCCCAGGATTAATTTAAAAGTAATATAATAATTACTCAATACTAACAATTATTCTAAACTATTCACCTTATTGTCCCAATGTTGATGCAGGCATCGGAGTAGGATATTTGCTTTGTCTGTTACAATTACAGCTAGAAAAAAAGAACACAATGCATTTTGATAGTTTTTATAGTCACAGGGAAGTATTGCTTGCAAGGACTTGGCTTGACCATAAAAGGTCTCCATGGTACATTTTAATTATTGAATTGAATCAATATATCTGAATGCCATGCAAAGAAGGTGAATATATATCCAAAGGAGAGTGGCTGCATATCTGAAAAACATCTTATCAAATGTGGTATGAGAAATTACTTCCTAACATAGACAAAAAATCTTGACATTTTAACCCTAGGGCTTTCAACAAGAGAGGTAATATGAGGTCAAATATTCATATATCATTGTACAACAAACAAATAGTTAATTTTACTATTTTTTTCTCGCCAAATAGATTCAAATAAGTCATTGCAGTAGCGGCACCATGATGCCAAATTTAGTCTTAATTAAAATGTTATAAAATTTGAAAAATATATAATTTCAATAGAGATTTGTCTGATTTGGTTTGTTCAGTATAATTACATTAAATTTTAGTTATTTAGTCAATTAGATTTATAAATCTTCATGCACCCCGTTTTGACAGGATTTCAAGCTGTATGAAGACCAACCTCAGCATAGGTGAAAACTTTACTCCTGATTGGTTTTTGAAAACTCGTTAAATTTGTTGCAAAGAAGCTAAACAATGCTTTCCTCTTTTAATCTGGTTATAGAGTGCAGGGACATAAACGATCCAGGTCAGTACATCTCATATTTTTTTGGCTCAATCGGATTCTGATCTGAATATACTGTATATATATTTTGAAGCAAATATTGAGTTAAATCAAATAGGACAGCTAAATCAACAGCGTTTTATGGCTATAACAGACTATAAACAGTTCGTTGTATTGCACAAACACCATGAATAAGCAAAATATAATTAAATATTCACATCTAAACTAGCTCCACAGATATTATGCAATAAAAAATAAGTACATAAGTACACAAATAACAGCAGTTTTATTAAAATGTTCATACCTTGATCAGAGGATTCCTTCGTTGGCAAGTAAACGATCGGTCTGTGGTGCTACAAAAAAGCCAAGCAATACAGTTTGATGTAGAAATAACTGCTGTGCGTTCACTAGAGTTTGTGTGTAGCCTTACCGAACATTTCATCGTTGAATCTGCCTTGAATTTGGAGAAATTTTGTTCATTGAAAGATGGTAGCTCTTTTAGTAGATTGCTCTAGGGCAGAGAAATAAGACAATAAAAAAACCCCAAAGATTTCGTCCCTCAAACAAGAAAACAAAATAATTTTAAGAAAGATATCTTACAGCCATCGCAAATTTCCTAAAGCCACAGGCAATTTCTTGACATATATTGTTTTGTTCTTCGAATACTCAAGCAATATGAAGTATCTGCTTTGTGCATGTCCGCTGGCCGGTCGGACTGTCGGAGGTTTCAATAATAACAAGCCCCTCAGTGACCAGTGTCTCAAAAAAAACGGGGTGTCAAAAAAAACGCAACCACTTACATATGCAAGACATTAATACAGCTCTAAAGCACAATAGATAAGCACCTCTGCTCTTAATCCTTCATTTAAAATGCTAAAAGTCATTTTAGCTGAACTGTGGTGCAAACCCGAACAATATAAATATTCTTGCATATTTAAGTGTTGCGTTTTTTTTGAGACACCCTGTAGTATAACTCAGTGCCAGTGACCCTCGCCAGTTTCACCCTAGACAATTCATAAGGGTAGAAATAATTTTAAAAGATTCAAGAAAATAAAATTTTGTACAGTCTTGACCAGTATTTCAAGGAATTAATACTGGCTAGAAAAAATTTGGCAAGCACCCCTGAAGAACATGAATTATTTTAGCCCTGTCTTCATGAATTAGTTCACATGATTTGTTAATTAATTTTGACTTATCCACCGTTTAAGCTAAACGGGCTTGATACAACCGGCCCCTGAAAACATGCAAAATCAGAACAATTAACACCACCTCACAAAAAGGGGTTTTCTTCAATTTTGCAAATAAACAAATTTTCGCGGTGACCGAGTGGGTTAGGACAGTAATTAGTCCATAGGCGGTGGTTCAAGCTCTTGCAGTGTCAAGTTCTTATTTAATTTCAAAGTCTCCAAAGAAAGAATTAAATGAAATAAAAAACTTTCGTCTTTTATCACCAGCATGAGGCCAACTGGGTTAGGACAGTGGTCAGTCCATAGGCGGTGGTTCAAGCTCTTGCAGTGTCAAAAAAATAAGTTACCAATTCTCATTTAATTTCAAAGTCTGGATAAGGTGATAAGTCTAAAAAATTCTAAGTCTTTCACCACCAGCACTGATAGCCGGTGGTAAATCTCTTAGTAAATCGCCCTTGGAAATTTACTGGGAAGACTTTTCTATCTCGTCCGTTGACACACATCAGCAAGATAAGGTAACATCGACGGTCGGTAAATTTCGACCTCAAACAGGACGAGACAACGAATGCTGGCTCAAACCGACCACACAACCAAACTCAAACTAACCGGAACATTCAAATATATCTTTAGCCCGAGTGGACGACGTGAAAATCTCGCTCGTCGGCGAGAGCTTGCCTGTGAAATTCTCGACGGTGAGTCTTACATCATTCAGTAAACTTCAGATTCCTATCATCTTCAATATTTCATGTTTGCAGTTCCATTGTGTTCTACTTTGCATAATTGTAGGGTCCCACTAAACACTGCCCGAGATGATTGCCCGAGATGACTGCCTGAGATGATTTCCCAAAATGACTGCCTGAGATGATTGCCCGAAATGATTGCCCGAGATGACTACCCGAGATGACTGCCCGAGATGACTACCTGAGATGACTGCCCGAGATGATTGCCCGATATGACTGCCCGAGATGATTGCCCGAGATGACTGCCTGAGATGATTTCCCGAGATGACTGCCTGAGATGACTGCCCGAGATGACTGTCCGAGATGATTGCCCGAGATGACTGCCTGAGATGATTGCCCGAGATGACTGCCTGAGAAGACTACCCGAGATGACTGCCTTAGACGATTGCCTGAAATGATTGCCCGAGATGACTGCCTGAGATGATTGCCCGAGATGGCTGCCTTAGATAACTGCCTGAGATGACTGCCTGAGATGACTGCCCGAAATGACTGCCTGAGATGACTGCCTGAGATGACTGCCTTAGATGATTGCCTGAAATGATTGCCCGAGATGACTGCCTGAGATGATTGCCTGAGATGATTGCCCGAGATGACTGCCTTAGATAACTGCCTGAGATGACTGCCTGAGATGACTGCCTGAGATGACTGCCTTAGATGACTGCCTGAGATGACTGCCTGAGATGACTGCCTGAGATGACTGCCTAAGATGACTGCCTGAGATGACTGCCTGAGATGACTGCCTGAGATGACTGCCCGAGATGACTGCCCGAGATGACTGCCTTAGATAACTGCCTGAGATGACTGCCTGAGATGACTGCCCGAGATGACTACTTTAGATGACTGCCTGAGATGACTGTCAATTTACATCCTGTGGACAAGTGCTGCAAGGCCAACGCCATCCAGAATATGGAGTCCTAATCATTTTGTTCTATTATTGCTAGCCATGCAACGAACTGCCAACGATGACCTTCCCGGGGCAGAACAAAAGCTATTCGGAGGCATGTCATTTAGTGTTATCAGTTAACTGGACTTTGTGAGAGTTCTCTTGCAAAATGTTTGCCAAGGTAATTATTATAAGAGATCATAAAGGCCTTTTAATGTTTCTCATGGTATACTGATCTGTGTTGTTTTCTGTGATTAAGTGTGATGTTTTTCTTCATGTGGTTTATCACTGAAGCTAAAGAATTGAGATACAACAATCTTTGACTGACTTTAGGTGTAAGACGTTCGCCCAGCTATTGTAGACCGCATGGAATCGATTCAAGTCCTTTAAAAATTTGTGAATCAAGATGAGAATGAACTTAGTGAATCTGTAATTGCTGCTATATGTTTTGGCTAAAATAAAAAAAAACTGTTGTATGTCTCCAAAACAAAGGAGCTTATATTTATGATGCCAAAAAGTACAGGATTGTTTGACATCAGAAATACAAAGAATTCGGCACACAGCGACAATTCAAAAGACAACTTTTTTCCAGGCTTTTAGCGATTCGTTTATAGTAACATCGCTCACGATGATGTTCGGATTTGATCGGCATGTTGTCGTACATTATCATACCACGTGATCTGCTATGATAACATGGTAATTATCGCCTATAAAACTAATCTCAACGTTAAAAAAAAATTTCTTTAATTAGGTGGCGATCGAAGGTGGACAGCAAGATCGAAGCTCAGCAAGATAGAAGATTGTTCGAGGAAGAAGGAGTTCGCCGTTGACTAAAAGGTGGGTTCCGGCGATTATATGCGTAATCTGCGGTTGCTTTGTCCGACCCCAGTAGGGGGACCGTTTGCCTAGAGCGTTTTGGTCCCCCGCACGCTGCTAGTTCCTACTTGTAGGCCTTTACACTAATCTACGGGAAGGCCGTAGGCCTTCCTTAAGGAGTACAGTGTAGCTGAGCCGAACCTTTTTTTTCGTTGTATATAGGTCTATCTGAACAGCTAGTTGTCAAGATGAAGGTGACTCGCCCGGCCAAATTCAAAATGGCGATGCCAAAGAAAACCATCCACGTGGACTGTTCGCGGACCTTTCTGAGCAAGATTGTTGTGCTGTCTGGTCAAAGTTAAGTATTTTACTTTGATGTTTGTGTGCCTTCTGCTAATTGTTGGCCAGAAATAACAAAAAACCATATACAATATGAAATATTCTGCGTACAAGGTTATCTAAAGTTTCGAGTTTAATTCTGCCTGTAATGATAATTTTTTACTGAAAATTTATGTCATAAGCAACTTCCGCACCCATAGACTGAAGCAGAACTGAACATTTTGTCATTAACGTTTATCTCAACAGCCAGTTATCAAGACGAACGTCAAGAGAACAGTTGAAATAGAAAATAGAAATCAGTTCAAGACTCGCCCGGCCGCCGAATTCAAAATGGCGATCCCATACACGTGGACCGTTCGCGGACCTTTCTGAGCAAGATTGTTGTGCTGTCTGGTCAAAGTTAAGTATTTTACTTTGATGTTTGTGTGCCTTTTGCTAAAACTAGACAATAATTAAGATAGTTGAAAATGCAATTTTATATTAATAATGTCTTCTTATATTCAAGATTTTCCTTGGTCAAGAGTGCAACATGAGCTATGGATATGAACTTTACTGTCAGATGAACATTGGAAGTGACAAGATTTCTGCACAGAGGTAATTCGATTGTTCCTTCAAAAGTTATATCAGCCTTGCAGCTGAAATTCTTGTGTGTAATACATATCAACTGCCCGGGTATATATTTTGTTATTTAGTATAAGGGGGAATTTTCTGCAACTAGGATCTTTTTTTGGAAAATCGTCAGGCAGTCACAAATTTTGTTAAGATTACTAAGTTAACATTGCTTCTATGCTCACTATGTGTCACCAGTAATAAATTCCTGGGGTGGTCTTTAAATAAATATAGCAACCATAGTTATATGTAGAGGGATGAAGTATAACCATAGAATACCTGACCAAAAACTAGACAATAATTAAGATAGTTGAATTAAATGGAATTTTATATTAATCATGTCTTTTTATTTATATATCTATATTCAAGATTTTCCTTGGTCAAGAGTGCAATATGAGCTATGGATATGAACTTTACTGTCAGATGAACATTGGAAATGACAAGATTTCTGCGCAAAGGTAATTCGATTGTTCCTTCAAAAGTTATATTAGCTTTGCAGCTGAAATTCTTGTAGTGACCTTGTAATACATATCAACTGCCCGGGTATATATTTTGTTATTTAGTATAAGGGGGAATTTTCTGCAACTAGGATCTTTTTTTGGAAAATCGTCAGGCAGTCACAAATTTTGTTAAGATTACTAAGTTAACATTGCTTCTATGCTCACTATGTGTCACCAGTAAGTAATTCCTGGGGTGGTCTTTAAATAAATATAGCAACCATAGTTATATGTAGAGGGATGAAGTATAACCATAGAATACCTGACCAAAAACTAGACAATAATTAAGATAGTTGAATTAAATGGAATTTTATATTAATCATGTCTTTTTATTTATATATCTATATTCAAGATTTTCCTTGGTCAAGAGTGCAACATGAGCTATGGATATGAACTTTACTGTCAGATGAACATTGGAAATGACAAGATTTCTGCGCAAAGGTAATTCAATTGTTCCTTCAAAAGTTATACCTTGCAGCTGAAATTCTTGTAGTGACCTTGTAATACATATCAACTGCCCGGGTATATATTTTGTTATTTAGTATAAGGGGAATTTTCTGCAACTAGGATCTTTTTTGGAAAATCGTCAGGCAGTCACAAATTTTGTTAAGATTACTAAGTTAACATTGCTTCTATGCTCACTATGTGTCACCAGTAATAAATTCCTGGGGTGGTCTTTAAATAAATATAGCAACCATAGTTATATGTAGAGGGATGAAGTATAACCATAGAATACCTGACCAAAAACTAGACAATAATTAAGATAGTGAATAAATGGAATTATATAATCATGTCTTTTATTATATATCTATATTCAAGATTTTCCTTGGTCAAGAGTGCAATATGAGCTAGGATATGAACTTTACTGTCAGATGAACATTGGAAATGACAAGATTCTGCGCAAAGGTAATCGATTGTTCCTTCAAAAGTTATATTAGCTTGCAGCTGAAATTCTTGTAGTGACCTTGTAATACATATCAACTGCCCGGTATATATTTTGTTATTTAGTATAAGGGGGAATTTGCTGCAACTAGGATCTTTTTTTGGAAAATCGTCAGGCAGTCACAAATTTTGTTAAGATTACTAAGTTAACATTGCTTCTATGCTCACTATGTGTCACCAGTAATAATTCTGGGGTCTTTAAATAAATAGCAACCATAGTTATATGTAGAGGGATGAAGTATAACCATAGAATACCTGACCAAAAACTAGACATAAGTTAAGAGTTAATTAAATGGAATTTTATATTAATCATGTCTTTTTTATATATCTATATTCAAGATTTTCCTTGGTCAAGAGTGCAACATGAGCTATGGATATGAACTTTACTGTCAGATGAACATTGGAAGTGACAAGATTTCTGCACAGAGGTAATTTGATTTGTCATGGATGGTCAGCATTTGATTTTAAAAAGCCACTACATTGTTGAGATGACAACTATGAAATTTAAATTTGCTTCTATGGTCACCATGTGTGAAACCAATGATGAAACTTAATGCTATAACAGCTAAACCAGTCTGGCTGATTACTAAAATTCCTGTGGTGGTCTTACAATAAATATCCACGAAAAAGTGGGAGAACTTGGGAGAAATTTTTCTGATTTCCCTGTGATTTATATTCTTTAGTACTCAGAAGGGTGATACCCAGTTTTTCTGTGTTCAAATTAAATAGTGACATATGTCTGGGTTGAATATATACCTGTGACACATTCTTTTTATTGAAAATGGCAAAAATATAATTGGCATAAAACAGATGACTAAAGTAAGATAATGAGTAATATTTTTTTAATAATGATGTCAGGTTGAAAATACAAACTTTGCTGCCACTTTTTGCCTAAAAGGATTGATGAAATGCTTTTTCTCTTTAGAGTTTAGAATGAATGAAGTTTAAGAAAGTTGAAAGGCACCCCTGAAGAACCTGAATTATTTTAGCCCTTACCTAGATTCATTAATTAATATATTTTAGTGTGTGATAACATGTGTGAAATGTGATCAATTATGTGACGATTTTCAGAACTTGGATTTATAAAGAGAAATTTTTCTTTGTAAAGTTTAAGAAGTAAACCTTTTTTGTCTGGTGGTGTTACTGTTTTGATTTTGCATGTTTTTCCGTGTGCTTTCACAATTGAAAAGATTTTGGCAGTTGCTTCTAAATGTTTTTTGAAAAGTTAAAGAAGAAACTTGATTTTTGTCTTCTGGTGTTTGTTGTTTCGATTTTGCATGTTTTTCCGTGTGTTTTCACAATTGAAAAGATTTTGGCAGTTGCTTCTAAATGTTTTTTTGAAAACTTTAAGAAGAAACTTGATTTTTGTCTTGTGGTGTTTGTTGTTTCGATTTTGCATGTTTTCCGTGTGCTTTCACAATTGAAAAGATTTTGACAGTTGCTTTGGCTTTTTCTTATACTTCTTTTCTCTTTAATTTCTTCTTAGTATTTGTTATTTTTCTAAATATATTTTCTCTTATTTTTTTTGATGAAATTCTTTTTTTTACTTTAGTGTTGAAGAAAGTTGAATAGGAAACCCGGATTCATTAATTCATATATTTTAGTGTGGAATGTGATGAATTATGTGACAATTTTCAAAACTTGGATTTATAAAGATAACTTTTTTCTTTGTAAAGTTTAAGAAGTAAACCTTTTTCATCTGGTGGTGTTAGTGTTTTTATTTTGCAAGTTCTTCTGTGTGACTTGACAATTCTAAATTAAACCTCTTAGTATTTTTTAGTTTTTTTTCTAAGTTAAAAAAAACCTGTTAGTATTATCTTCTGTTTATCTAGTTTTTTCTTTTTTTTTCTCTCTAGTTTTTTTTTTCTAGTTTTTACTTCTATTTTTCTAGTTTTTTTTTCTATTTTTCTACTTAGTTCTTTTTTCTCTTGTTTTTTTTTTCTCTCTAGTTTTTTTTACTCTAGTTTTTACTTCTATTTCTCTAGTTTTTTTTTCTATTTTTCTACTTAGTTATTTTTCTCTAGTTTTTTTTTCTCTCTAGTTTTTTTTTACTCTAGTTTTTACTTCTATTTCTCTAGTTTTTTGTAACTTTTTTCTTTGTAAAGTGTAAGAAATAAACCTTTTTCGTCTGATGGTGTTAGTGTTTTTATTTTGCAAGTTCTTCTGTGTGACTTGACGATTCTAAATTAAACCTCTTAGTATTTTTTTGTATTTTTTCTAAGTTAAACCTGTTAGTATTTTCTTCTATTTCTCTAGTTTTTTTTCTCTAGTTTTTTCTTCGTTTTCTCTTTTTTTCTTCTATTTCTCTAGTTTTTTTTCTATTTTTCTAGTTAGTTTTCTTTTCTCTAGTTTTTTCTTCTATTTCTCTAGTTTTTTTTTCTATTTTTCTAGTTAGTTTTTTCTCTAGTTTTTTTTTCTAGTTTTTTTCTCTAGTTTTTTTCTTAATGTTTTTCTCTAAGTATTTTCTAAATGTTTTTTGAAAAGTTTAAGAAGAAACTTGATTTTTGTCTTGTGGTCTCTAGTTTATTTTCTATTTTTTCTTCTATTTTTCTAGTTTTTTTTCTTTAGTTTTTCTAGTTAGTTTTTTTCTCTAGTTTTTTTCTTCATTTTCAGGCTTTTTAGAAGACACGTGTTTTTAAAACTTTTTTTTCTTGTGCTTTTCTTTCAATTTTCAGGTACATTTGAAGGCGATAATTTTTTTTTGTTTTTTATATTTCAAATTTTTTTCAATTTATGGTCTTTTGCAAAGGCAGAGAAGTCTTTTAATTGTTTTAAACATTCCAAATCACACCGAAATTTTTCAGGCTAATTTTTTTGCATTGCCAGGAGTTGAAACGTTAGTCCTCGGATTAAGACACGAACGTCTTAACCATTAGACCACCGCATCATTTGTCGAAAGCTATTGTTCTTTATTTGACCCAATCCTTTTCGATGAAGTTTAAATTAAACAATTATTTCGATGGGAAAAATCAAACCTTTCCCATGCAGGATTCGAACCTGGGTTTACAACCTGGTAGTCCGCAGCCTTAACCGCTGGACCACAGCATCATTTATCAAATGCTCTTGTTCTTTATTCGACGTAATAATATTCGCAGAATTTTAGATTAAATAGCAATTTAGGTGGCAAAAATTGCATGTCTCCCTTGCAGGATTCGAACCTACGCTCACAACTTGGTAGGGCGGTAGCCTTAACAACTAGGCCAATGCATTCTGTGTTGATACTTACTATAAAATAATACATTTTAATACTTGAAGACAAAATTGACGACTTTTTCAATGTTCCAAAAAGCAACCAAACATGCTCTAAAATGAAATATATTAGTTTTAGGAAGCCATTTTTAGCATTTTAAGACAGTGTTTGAACTATTGAAAAAGTCGTCAAAATTGACCAAAATGGTAAGGGGTAAGGCTGGCAATTTTGACAACTTTTTTATTGTTCCAAAAACCAACCAAATATGCTCTAAAATGAAAGATATTAGTCTTAGGATGCCATTTTTAGTATTTTAAGACAATTTTTGAACACTTCAAAACGTCGTCAAAATTCACCAAAATGGTAAGGGGTAAGGCTGGCCATTTTGCCAATTTTGACGACTTTTTCATTGTTCCGAAAAAGAGCCAAATATGTTCTAAAATGAAAGATATTAGCCTTAGGAAGCCATTTTTAGCATTTCAAGAAAGTTTTTGAACAGTTTAAAAATTGGTCAAAATTGACCAAAATGGTAAAGGCCCTGTTACACGGTGCAATTTTTCTTGCAACTTGCAATGCAATTCTACTTTTGAGAGATGTATATTTGGGAACAAGGGAACTTTTGTGTTTATTACACTTCCTGCACTGTTCTTCTGCAAGACTCTTTACTAATTTACATCTCTTAGAAGTACAATTGCATTGCAAGTTGCAAGAAAAATTGCACCGTGTAACAGGGCCTTAAGGGATAAGCCTTACCATTTTGGTCAGTTTAGACGACATTTTCAATGTTGCAAAAACCAACCAAATATGCTCTAAAATGAAAGATATTAAATGTCTTAGGAAGATCTTACCAGATCCGTTTCCCATTGATGCCAGTGGAAGATTTTGCAATAGGCCCAGCACAATCTGTTATCTTAACAGAGAAAGAAATTGTCAGTTTATTTGTGTATTTTCATGTGAATCCCAAACCAAAAGTTAATTTCATTGATAATTTAAGATGTTGCCTGACTGGCCGGGAGAAGTCTGTCGCAGGAGATTCTCAAAAGTTGAAAACCGATGGGGTTATAGTGGTACGGATTCGGTTCTCAGTAAACAAGCGTATCTTTGTTTTTGGTTTGGGCCTTTATGGTGCAATACATCCTAAGACTAATATCTTTCATTTTAGAGCATATTTGGTTGGTTTTTGGAACAATGAAAAAGTCGTCAAATTGACCAAAATGGTAAGGCTTACCCCTTACCATTTTGGTCAATTTTGACGACTTTTTGAACTGTTCAAAAACTGTCTTAAAATGCTAAAAATGGCTTCCTAAGACTAGTATCTTTCATTTTAGAGCATATTTGGTTGGTTTTTGGAACATTGAAAAAGTCGTCAAAATTGACCAAAATGGTAAGGCTTACCCTTACCTTTTCATTTCATCTTAAAAGGTGCTGATTCGTATTATGACAGGCAAGGGCTTGAACCACCACCTATGGACTAACTACTGTTTTAACCCACTCGGCCTTTGCCGCTGGCAGTGAAAGACGACATTTTAAATTTTTTTTGTAAGACTAATATCATTTTGGGTACAAAATCTCATTTCCTTCCATCTTTTAAACCTAACGTTTCTCCTAACTTTCTAATCGTTATTGTTGGTATTTTTCATGGATATTTATTCTAAGACCACCACAGGATCCGGAATTTCAGTGACAAAGCAAAGAAGGCATTGAATTAGAATCACCTTGGGGCAGAAATCTCTGACTAAACAGGTTTCCAATCAATGAACATCTAATAGTAAAGCACATATACATAGCTCATATTGCACTTTAGACCAAGAAAAACCTTTAATAAAAAGACAACATGAATACAAAATCCCAATTTGAATTATCAGGATTGCGCAGTATTGGACTATAATATAGTCCAGGTAATCGATAGTCGTTTCATCTTGCTATATAAACCAACATTGCTATATTTATTGTAAGACCACCACAGGAATTTGAACAACAAAACAAAAACACTGAGACTGGCGTTTATTGACACAGCATTGCGACCATATAGAAGCAAACTTAACCAGTAAAATTGGCAGTAATCCTAACAAAATAGTGGCATTTTAAAGTTTAAAATTGTGACTCTTTTCATTCCCTTAGTTATTAAAAAATCCCCTGGAAGTAAATGCAAAAGATCCTAGTTAAATTCCTCTTTATACAACAAAATATATAATTTACCAGTCAGAAGTCAATTTTTTTGGCTGTATAAAATCAGAGCAGTTGATATATTTTTTAACCTCGTTCCCAGGGTCTATATTTTTTATTTCATATATTGAGAATTTATGAGCCGCTGATATATTATATACTAATATTTGCTGTTTTATAACAACAAAGCAAGAATTTCAGTTACAAATCACTGATATGAAATCTTTACGGGGACAATAAAATGTTTATAAACTCTCAGCAGTAAAAAAATCAGCAGCACGGATTTAAAAGTAAAGCGAAATGCTTAACTTTGACCAGACAATACAACAAACTAACTCAGACCATGATCTAAGTCTTACCTCAAAACCACGCGGTACAGGTGGCATGGTCCATCCGCATTCCATGAACATATGATATATTCGGCTTCTCAGCAATCTAAAACAGGCGAAATTTTGAGTTCGCTTTAGCGAATATGGGTTCGGAAGCTCCTCATGAATTCTCAGTAGAAAAATGATCGTCATTGGCAGACCGAATGGGAGCTAGAACATTAGCTATAAACTTGTACGCTCGGTATTACATATTGTATATAGTTTTCTGTTTTTCAGTTCTGATCAAATGATTAGCAGAAGAGAGATTGATAGGAAAGTACTTAACTTTGGCATGAAAACACAACAATCCTGCTCAGAAAGGTCCGTAAAGTCCACATAGTACGGTTTTCATCGGCATCGCCATTTTGAATTTGAGCGAGCGAGTCTTGAACTGAATTCTATTTCATCTTTTCTCTTCACGTTCATCTTGACAACTAGCTGTTCAGATAAACCTATATACAACGAAAATGAAAGGGCTCAGCTCAGCTACACTGTTTTCCTTAAGGCTAGCCAACGGCCCTCCCGTAGAAAAGTGCAAAGGCCTACAGTGGGAACTAGCAATGAGCGGGGGTCTTAACCCATGGATGCAAACGCCCCCTCTCCGAGGTCGAAGAAAATAACCTCAGATTACGAATATAATCGCCGGAACCCACCTTTCAATCAACGAACTCCTTCTTCCTCGAACAATTTTCAAACTTGCCTGCTTCGTCTTCATCTTGCTGTTCACCTTCGCGATCCATTCGGGCAAATTTTTACCCGGTGCAAGACAGTTGATTATATTGGCTACAACCTTACCACGTGATCCTATAGCATCACATGGTGTGATGATGATCAGGCGACGACAACATGCCGATCAATTCCGAACATGCGATTTCGCTACGAAAAATGTCATTGTGAGCGATGTCACTAAATAACCAAGGACAAGGCAAGTTTCGTTCGGAAATCATCCTGATCACTGAAAGCGCCTTGAAAAAAAGTTGTCCTTTCCAGTGCTTTCCAGTTTTAAAGAATGATTTGTTTGATTGTTACACTTTTAAATATCAAAGAGAGAAATGTGATTAGACCGCCGAGCGGAGATTGCTAGGTTTTTTAATGTACTTAGCTTGTCCTCACTTAACTAAGGTTAAAAGTTAACAAGCCTTTTATACAACTGGCCCCAGAAGCTTCAGAAGTTCATTGTCATCATGTAAAGCTTTGCCATTGATAAAAGCTGTCCTGTCCTATATTTCAACATTTGAGAGCAGTGCTTGAAAAATTCCGAAACCCTTGCAAAATTCTTTGTTTTATTTGTTTTTCTTTCTAAGGAGTGATTGTTGATTTCATGGAATAATGCCCAATAGTGCAGGAATGACCAGGTGTAAACATCATAGACATCATATGCGTAGATAATTAAAGACAGTAGGCGTACGTGCATGTTGCATATCTGCTAATTACTAAGGAATAACTAACCCGAGGGAAAAGCCATCTAAAATCTCTACCAGATCTAGAGTAACTGTTACGTAATATTAGGAAACAAACAAGAGGTTAATATATTATACAATTACAAACAACCCTCTAAGTAATTAAATCACTACAAAATAGCTTACAACAATGGCCACTAACAACCACCACAATCATCTTTAACTCGGAAAGTTCATTCGGAAACAATACATTACTTGCCGGATTGAATAGCATCATAAATGACTTGCTGCGATGTTCGTTTTTTCACGACTTTTCTCCGCCAAGCTTTTTGAATAACAACCGCGGCATAGATTTCCCTATTCCGTACGAATGTTGTTGTTTCACGACGTTGCTTTGCTCTGTTTGGAAACGCCACGAGGAATGCTTCCTCTAACTTCCGCTGCATCAATTTAAAAGCATCTGGGTTTTCACGCTGAATGTCACCTAGTAGTTGACGAACCAACGCCTGTAGCACGTCCACGCAATGAATACGGTCCCCCTAAAAAACAGGTGAACTGAATTGAGGATGGATTTATTAAGCGACTTACATGTACATATTCCAGGTGATTTGCATGCATGACGCTCATATTTTAGCCAATCAGCGCTAAGAAAGGTTATCGAAGTAGAAATCCCTGTTGTTCTTTGTGAAACTAGCCGAAATTTTTGTGATTATGTTTAATTATAAGAACTATAGGTTCCAATATAACCAGGGAGTAGCGTGGCAGCATCTGCATACTGACTTTCGTGACGAAGGCCCGAGAAGTGTTTTGTCTATTTTAGGCAGTTGTTATACCACATTTGATGCTAAGTTATAAGGTTATAGGAACTATAGCTCTGATATAAATGCTAAAAACCCAAGTAAAGTGTACTTCAGGGGCCGGTTGTATAAAAACGTAGTTAGCGCTAACTGCAGTTAAAAAGTAGTTAAAAAGTAGTTAACTTTAATCACGTAGTTAAGCCGGTTGTATAAAAGTGTAGTTAGCCTTATATAAACTGCAGTTAAAAAAGGGCATCGTTAACTTTCCAAATCGTAGTTAAAAATGGCGTCTTGAGATTTTGAGGAGTGAGAAAGCATTAAAATCAATACACACCAAGGTTGTGAACTGTTATCCACTCAGAAAAGGCCCCGTTGAAGCTTGTAAACTTTCAATATGCTTTTATTTTTTTCATTTGGGCAGCAACGGAGTATATTTTTGCTTCGGGAGAGGTGTCGATGCCAAATAACGATCCTAGCAAAGATTAGCCATCTCCATTTTCAACTGCACCCGGTATTTTGGCTCAAAGGGACCTTTTTATATTAAGAGCGCCTTTTTCGTTGAATTATTTTGAATTTTTTCCTTGTTTTATTGCATTTTTCCCAATATTTTAGATCAAAATACTGTCAATTTTTGTAAATACGAGTCCACAGTCTTGTTCAAAGTCAGTAATAGCGGTCAATAATTTCTAGATACTTCATGCTATTTCTCTGTTTAACAACCCCACGCAAGCTCCACGCAAGTTAACTACGTGATTAGTTAATCATCCGACTAACTACGTTTTGTGCAACGCAGTTAAGTCGTGTAGTTAACTAATCATAGTTAAGGATTTAATTACAGTGATTAGCGCTAATCATAGTTAAAGTTAACTATGTTTTTATACAACCGGCCCCAGGAGATTTCACCGCTCCTAAAATTTTGGAAACAAAGGATTCTGTTTGTATGTCTTTATCAGACATGCAGGAACATGTTCAACGTCCAGTGCAAAATACCAACACAACGCAACGCAACGCAACGCAACGCAACATAACATAATATTATTTCCGCAGATGCATTACTTACCTGTTGTATAGGTATGTGCAAATTTATACACGCAAATTTATTCGGCTTCGGTAACCTTATTGGCTCCTCCAGCGAGTCCACGAAATCAGACAGTTGGCCATGAGGGATATATTGGGTTGCTTGTGGATCATAATGTTCCCACTTGTGATAAAACATATCCAGATGATCGTTCGTTATGCCAGTGGCTTCAGCCTTGAAGGCTTCATGTAAGTTCTCCATAATGACCGCGATATACATATTGATGATGATTAAAGATGTACTCAGAACAAAAGTGACAAAATAGAATATTGCGAAATACGGATTGCCACAGTTACCATTCGGGAGGTCGTCGTGTGTCGGATCACATTCGGGCGGTTGAACCATCAGCGGAGCTAACACATCATTCCATCCAGCAGAAGTCGAAAGCCGAAATAACAACAGCATAGAGTTACGAAACGTCTCGAAGTTTACCATATCGTTTATTGCACCCGAGTGTTTCACGTAAGCAAACGAGGACATGCCGATGATGGCGTAGATAAAAAGCAAAAGAAATAGCAGTGCGCCGATATTCACGAGGGCTGGTAACGAAATAAGCAAGGCGAATAACAGACGGCGAATTCCACGCGCGTTTTTGTAGAAACGTAACAAGCGCCCCACGCGAAATACACGAACCACGCGGAATATACTTGGCGTGATGATGAAGGAATGATTCAGATGCTCCATAACAAGACCTGAAATGAAAGATGTGAGATAAACGCTGTAGTTGTAGTCATTGAATAAAGCTGTTTTCCTATCCCAGATTGAGAACTATAATTCGGTCAATCGGTGGCGTATTAAAAACCTGAACGTGGATTTAATAGTCTTTTTGTCAATCATCATACGATAAAAGGAGCAATTTTATGATACATACCGGCAATCGACAGCAAAACCACAATAAAATCAAATACGTTCCAGGGTTCTTTGAAATAGTCTAAATGTTGAACAAGAAGTCGAAAGAAAGCTTCCAAGCAGAATATGGCCGTGAATATCACATTGCTGTAAAGTATTCCCCGCGAACAGCATCACGGTGTTAGTCAAGGAAATTAAGAGTCTTACATGTATGCATCTTTAACAAATATACCTTAGCGAATGACATCACCTTGTTCAATTTACCATGCACCGATAACCTAGAGATCCTCATTGAATCTCTGTCACCAGACATATGATTAGGGGCTGCTCACACGTGTCTGGTGACAGAGATTCAATGAACATGTTAACTTAAGATCAATGTTAAAATGGACTTAAAATGAGTACATAACATGATCCTGATAGTTATGTAATCATTACAACAATTCCTTATGCTCGTTGTGTTTCAAAAAGACTCATTTTAATACCCCAAAGTCATATTTGACGTTTCATTCTATCTCGGTAACCAGACTCGTGTAAACAGCCTCTTAATAAGAAAATTTGCAAAAAAAAATTTGGAATGTTAGGCCGTCAAATGGTCACTTCAAATCATGGTCAATTTACAGACGATTTGCGAATGTTAATTGTTGTATAACAATAGAAAAGGATATAGAGTATCTTGGTAACAGGCTCACTTTGTCTGTGATGTCTCACCATCATAATCACCATGTTGAATATGATCAACACCATGATGGTCATCTCAAATCTCGAACTGCTGGCAATATCAAATAAATACGCTCGCCATTTTCCCTAAGAAAAACAAAACAAAACATTATGATGCGTCAGAAAGCCTAAACACGCTCTCAACTGAGCAATTTATTCGACCATTTCCCTATAAAACAGAATTTAAAACTAGGAAAACCGTCACCATAGCTGGATAGACTTTGATAGTTTGTCTTAATCTTTTGTCAACCTTTTGCCTTTTGACAAACCTCAAGCAGCTTTTATCGTTCGAGGCAACTTTTGTAGAAAGTTGGGTCGTAAATTTTCCTAATTCAGCAGTTACGTAGTTGACTCTAGTTGAAAATAGTCTATTACTGAATTCATGCCAGATAGACAATATGTTCGGAAATGAAAGTCAACTCACATCGAAACTCGCAATTTGGGATCACCGTTGCGAAATGCCTAAAGTTCGTATTCAATGTGATACATAATTATTATAGTTTGAAAAGTTCGAACTTAGAGCATTTATGATTTGACACAAATCGTACGCGCGTTGTTGCATGTCATTCGATTTTTATTACAATAATCAATATTAGGCTAAGTAGTTCTAGTTGCTGATATATTTACCTAGAGCATGAATAACCTTGCTTTGTAGACGAACCTTCGTAAATAATACTATTATGAAGATGTATAACAGTCGATGAATAGCAATCATTATTATATACTCCATGCTTTTGAAATTCAAAGTGGGGGAACTTAGGCCCGTTTCAGACGTCAAACTTTTCACGTGCCGAATCGAATGCAAATGAACTTAAACAAAGACTTTATCTTATCAACATTAGGTTCGGCACACGGAGAGTTTGACGTCAGAGACCGGGCCTATAATGGGCCTACGGGACAATACATCACGTATTGTCGCTGCATGTTCGAAATTTCCATTGGTAGATTACATGTTATCTTGTAAATAGCTGCTGAAAATGAATCGATCGATTCGAAATTAATTATTGGGATCAAAAATTGCTTGACATGTGAATTGTGTTATGCACACTTTTTCGGGAAAACCTCAGTAAATAAAAAAAACATTTGCCCGACTAGATCGTGCAATGAAAACTTCCATTGCGGTCAAAAGAAAATTTTTATCTCATTCCACGTTATCAAAACCAACAATTAAAAGACAATTTACAATTTGATGTTGCAAATGCAAATCATTCTACATACGAAGCAGCATATAATTCTAGTCCGCGTGAAACGCAGCGCTCTCCTTTAGTCTGTCATTTTACCAGTTTTGCCTATGACAGCTTCTAGTTCAATGCCAATGGCACTTACTGTAATTTATTTGCAGCATTCACAAACTTGAGATCCTCAGTCTAATGCATAATGGATAAACAGTAAAACAAAAACACATGCACTCATGATATTAATATTTCTTTATCTTGATCATCCAAAATGATGTTATCTGCGAAATTTAAAGCTGTTTTTATTCCGTTTCATGCAGTTTTTATGACGCGACCTGTTGTCACAAAGTGTAAACTGGTCTCTACAGTCGAATTAATACATCCGGTATTTGTCATTGTTTACATTGTATTGAATCACCGTTCTGGAAACTTGTTCGAGTTCTACAAAAATTGCTGACTAATAACTACAAAGAGTTTAATCAAGGTTTCAAGACATAAAGAACCGATGGGGAATCCAGCTGCATATAAATATTCGTATACTTCTGTCGTTTTATTCGGAATTCTTGGCAACATGTTAGTTATCGTTTCCGTTTTGAGACAGAGGAAATTGTTAACGAACAACTATTATTTTCTTGTTTTACACCTCGCCATCTGTGATCTGGCATGGCTGGTTGTAGTTTTTTGCACCCACGTCCAACAAGAACTACTTCAAGGAAAGGAAACATCGGACAAAACTTATTGCCTCTTCTATAAAATGAGATTCATCCCTCGCATTGCAGGATTATATATGATGCTGGTCATTTCAGTTCTTCGCTATCGGGCAACTCTACACGCCTTTAAACCAGACATCAGCAGGAAGAATTTGAGATTTGTTTGTGGTTTGGGCTACATTCTTGGCTTGATCGCAGGCTACGGAGGAGTCGCGCCTCTATGTTTTGTGAAGCAGAACTCACTTGATGATACGTCGTATACGAGGAACATTTTTGCATGCGCAATATTCTTCATTTACTATGCCCCAACAGCGGTTATGGCTGTACTTTATTATAAAGTATATCTGGGACTCGTGAAGCAAAACAAATATCTGAAGAGATTAGGTTCAAATCCAGCGGCACAAGCATTTTCCACCTCTTTCTTCGGCAAGTATCTAAAAAACCGTCGAACTTTCCTTGTTTGTGTCGGTACCGTTCTCTGTTATGGATTTGGGAATCTTCCAATGTCTGTAGTTCTTATTTTTATTACCTCCGGTAAGTATGATCTACTGATGAAACATGTTTGGATAATTCATACAGCTTACGTTTTAAGAGTTGCTGGATCGTGTTCAGTCAATCCTCTCATTTATGGAATATTTGATAAAAAATCGCTAATATTTTGGAGGCTTTGTTCAAAGAGGAAACACGATATCTAGACGTTTCTAGTATAACTTCATGGAGTGTTCTTGGTCTCATATATCTTACATTTGAGTGGAAATAACACACATTTCAAATTCTGGTTAGGAATGTGGACGAAGGAACATCGTAAGCTTATTTATCGAAAATGCTGCCATTTCATATAGCTAAGTTTGGAAGAGAAAGTATTTATTATTACTTTCAGTATTATTGCAATACGAGAACTTCCAACTGCCGGCCACCTGCATGGGTAGACACTTTTAAATAACTAACATTAAATTCTAAATATCAAATTTAACGCTATTTATTAGCATAATAAACTTCGCTAGTTTTCATGTCCTCGCGAAATAAATTTATCTCGTAGTACATTAAAAATTGTCTTATACTTTAGACAGTTTTACAGACAATTTTTACGATATTCATTTTGGAAGGGAACAAAAGAATCTAAAAATCTATTAGAAAGCATAGAAAGTCGACAATTATTTTGTGAACTTATCATATTCATGAAACGTTCGAAATTGGCTCCAACCTGACTAGTTGGCGTAGCCGGTACTTTCAGAACATTAGATCAACAAACGTTTGTATTATATTGGACATATATTCCTTTTACAAGCCATTTTAAGATATTAGTTGGAGCAATACCTATAACATAATAATTTTATGATTACAATAAATTATTACAACACCTGCAGTCTAGCTATACGTTAAAAATTGTAAATATTAATGTATGCTACCGGTCGAGTATTTTGTCTTGAAGGGTCTCTGCGTTGATTGACATCTTTTTGTAATGTATTTTGTTGCATGCAGAATGCAGTTGTTCTAATTGCTATATCATAATTGCGTTTATATCTATACGATATGAGAATTAATTATGACATATTTTTATTCGTATTTCTAATGCGAACCGCAAAAAAAAGAGCTATGCATGCTTGACCTTCAATGACATACTAATATATATCCAAAACAAAAGTAAGAATAGTAAAAAAAACCTGTGCTAATTCTGTCAGCCGTTTTCCGAGATCGCTGCAAATACGTAAAGGTTGGCAAAAGAACTAGAACTTGGTTCATGTAAGCTTTAGTATGTTTAAGCTGCTATATTTGCTGTGAATGATATCATATCGATGATGTAACAATGTGAATTTGCCTTGTGTGCGATGATTTAAACGGCGGCATATTACGCACGCAATGATGGCATAATTATATTTATGGGAACACTTTTGGTCGGGATTTACATAATTTGAAACATCTAAAATTCGTTGTATAGCTGAGGCAAGCAGGTATTTATTTCGTTCAAGACCAAATTTGTACAAACTTTCAGCAGCCGGCGAAATATTTACTTTACTTCCAAGCTTTATATAACTATATATGTTTACAAAGAGTAAGTATAATAACGTTAGTGACACGCAACACGTACGCATCCTTCTATCAAGAGCTGTATTGACGCACGGTCACTGAAGGTCGACGAGAGAAATAATATTTATCAAAATTAGGATGTCACCTAATAAATCGAGAATAATATATGGATTTATCTTTGTAGACATTAATTCCTATAAACGGTAACAACAAATAAACAATTTTTAAAGATATGCCTTTAAAGGCAAACGAAAGTCAGAAATGCAATAAGAGACTGGTAAACGTTTTGGGTGTGGCACATGAGGGTATGGGAGGATGTGACAGCTTCCAATACTAAAGTTGATCTAACCGTTTTGTTATTGGTCAGAAAAATACAGCATAAAATCACAGTTAATTTCTTATATTAGGTCACATACAGGATTATTTCCGAATTTATAAGGTTAGTCATAGTAAAAATAGGCGGTTTCAGGATCTTAGTATATATGATAAATTTTCTCTAAGCAGTAACCACCATGTTGGTGCATCTTGAATATTCCCTCGCTTAATGTTACCCATAAAACCTACGTTCCTATATAGGCCTATATGTTATGTATATAACATTATGTCACTAGAACTATTTGTCTTGATATGGTTCATAACCAAATAAATAAAAATCGCGCATACATACGCATTGGAAGGGGAAGCAAAGTTGTTGTTAAAGTTGACATATTCTGAGAGTCAAATCGTTTCATTTTCGCGGATATTTGGACGTCTTCATTATAAAACGTGGTCATTATAAAACTTGCTCAATATAACATGACAACCCCTAATCCTGAATGGTTCGCCACCCCCATTAGAATCATGTCAGACGTTTGCCGATATTTGCTGGATACAACTTACAGTTTTGCAATGTAACTAGAATGATTTTCGCTTGGAAATTATTTTGCAACTCAATTTTGCTGTCTTATTCTTATTATATTTCTACCATATTTGCTGTCAGTTAGTCCGCTCTATACAAAATCGCGATAAAGTATAATCATGCGAATTCGCTTTGTCATAGTTTAATTAAAATGCCACCACATTGCGCATGCAAATATTGGATGACTGGGATCGGTGAGGTCATTACTACTCAGACGTCATCAATTAATTATTTACGAGACGCCTTGAGAGACTCCTAACCTCAAAGTATGAATTG